TCTTAGTAGAATAGTTTCCTTGTGTGTGAGTATTCATTAATTCATATATAAGTATATTTTTGAGAATTGGCTATCGGAAAAATTTGGATAGTTTGCTGTTTTGGACATAAGAAATAAGGGCCACATTTATTTAAGTCTCTGGGCAGAATGAAAATGAAAGTGAGGACTGGTAATAACTTGGGTTAGGCTCAGCTACGGCTGGTATCGGCACAATACCAGTCGTTCAATAGAAGTGCCTATCCTTTAGGCAGTTTATGAAATTCTCAAGTGAACTTAAGCAAATATTTCTTTTATTTAAAAAATTAATCTTTCTCACCCATTTGTAATGGACACGTGAATAGGATGCTGTAGTAGCGCACTTGCGTCATTCGAGCGCATCAACTTTTTAAGCACGTGTAGTGATGTACTGTTCTCATATTATTGCAGCATGGGTACACAAGCATACGGAATGAAGTCGTATCATTTACAACTGCCGCATTCCACTGGATGTTCTTTTGTGATTGGCACTACACGTATGTGTCAAGCAAAAAAAAAAAAGCAGATGAGGCTTTTTATTGGATAAATCTTCATACAGATTTCATAATTTACGTCGTGTGTAAGTGAGACTATACCAATTGTTCAATATGAACTTTGCCTCAAAAAGCCCCACATTCCCGACAAATGTTATTTGCGGTTGTCTTACAACTAGTGAGTGCTCTACTCTTGTTAGTTTAAAGGCGACTGAAAATGATTCGAACTGGTGAGCGACGCCAAAGGAAAGTAAAAACAAAGAAAACTTGTAGCCACTAGAGAGAAATGTACCTACCATGACAAGCTTAGAGTTTTATAAAACAATACCTAGAGAGGAACCTGTCGCTACGATCCTGTACCTTCATGGGAATTATGGGAAGTATAGGCTTCAGTATGGATAGGGTTAGCTAGCGAACTGTCTATAGACTTTTTTCTACAATTTCAGTTCTGTTCTTCGTGCAGCGTGGGTAGTGGAGAGCGGTGAAAAGCACTGAAGCAGTGTCTGTTGTTCCAAGAGACTGTTGTTCCAAGAGACTGAAGACCACTAGGTCTGAAGTTTGCTGCGACGTTGGAGCTTTGAGTCATATTTGACAGTTTAAACAAAGCATTGTCCACTCACCACTGCGCATAAGTGTAGCGTCTCATGCCGGTACAGGATATCGCATCGAGTTCATATTTTTTCACAAGCACGTCTTGCCTAAACTCGTTTTAAATCGACTGCAAAACGTTGACGAAGCTAAACAGATGCACCGTCACGCTGCGCTGACTCGGCTTCACAACAAACCAGAGGCAGAGAAGCAGGGGGGGGGGGGGGGGGGGGCAAAACACTTTCACAGGCGCACCTAGCATCACAGGAGATGAAACGTGAAGTGTTTCTCACTTAATACTGTACTCTCATTTCCATAAATAGATAATGCATACTTTTGAGAGAAAAACAAGCATGTTCGTTTTCAAGTGTTGTAGAATGTGGTTCATTTAATCTTGATGCCAAATCTGGAATGCAATGGCACAGCAATGGATACCCTGATAGTTAAATTTGCCCAGGTTTCACTTTTGCTGCCTCATCACGAAACCTTTTGCAATAAAGTTTTCGTATAAACGAATGAAGCAAGTTTTAATTGAATATAAGTTCATATGTCTTTGTTTTCCACCCAGAAAAGAAGCGTCGCTAATCTCAAGAACATAAACCATCCGAAGGTGATCCAGAGCCTGTACTTCCCATAATTTCCAAGGGGTACAAACGCCGCTGAAGGAACCAGATTCCCCTTTAACTAGTGTTGCACCAGATTTTCCTATTGTCAGATTCCCCTCTAGGTATTATTGTATGCAACTCTATGGCGAAAGCTTTGGTTCAAATGAGGGAAAGAATACCGTCAAATGCAAGAGCTTTCCTTTCGGAACGTTCAAATGGCCATTACTCACTGACCGATAACTTAGGGTTTATAAAAAAATTCTCAAAAATGGCTAACTTGCTGCATGGAATGTTGTTAGAATCGCAGTAAAATTCATAGGAGCACTTGCCCTCCTTACACATCTTAAGTCACATGGTCATGCTCTTTTTTTGTCAAGTGTAGGCTATATGAACATTTTGTATACGTAGCTGCTGCATGGAATGAAGTCCTGTTAATTATTTTCCTTCGTTGAATTTTCTATCTAGTTTCACTGAATGCTCTGAACTGCTGTAGTATTTGTTGTAGAAACTCATCGATAGAATAAAAAACTGTACATTTGTCGTCTTTCAAGTGTTACGAGGCTATATGATTGGGAATTCTATGAGGTACTTGGTGAAACTATCTTTTATCTTATTCCTGTAATATCCAAAATATCATGCGTGTCATGTTGTTTGATAGTTCAAATTGCTGATGTTTAAAAATGAGAGGCTTAATTTAAGCAAAGCCTGAAGTTGTATTATAATATGCAAAAGGGATGTAGCTTTCAATATCTCAAGTAATTAATAAATGATGGACTACTTTACTAATTAAGCTTGTTCGTAATAACACTGCCTTGCAGTTCTTCAAGTGCTCTCTGGGATCAGCAGTCAAAATCAGCATGCTATATTTATGTTCCTCGATGCAGATCTGTGTTAGGGCATTATATTAATAAAGCAAATGTATGTGGAAAAATAAAGTAAGAATTTTTAGTTGTGTGACAGTTATATGTGATGATTCTTTCTACATTCCATGTTGAGAGAACTCGGAATTGCGTTTTCAGTCTTCCTGTATGCCAGCCAGCTAATCTTAGCATGTTTAAACTGATACTTGTTTTCTTCGTGTGGCGCTTGAGATCATACATGTATATTTTTTTCTTGTAGTAAAAACTACTTTGCTTCCTTATTAGCACCTTTAAAAGTTGTAATGGCGGCTATATTCCTGCAAAAATTTAATCAAGCAACTTTTAGTTCTTGTTTACTCCCAATGCATGAAAATACTATTAGGCATATTTTTATGGTTAACTTCAGCTAGATGCGGAACAGTATGAAACATTTAAGTTGTCCCAAAATCCTTTCAATTGTGTGGAAGAACAAACCATATCGTTTCATTAAATACACAGCTGGGCATTTTCTTTGTTCGCACATGACCCCACTGTAGCATGTAGGAGGGTTCGTAAAATATAATAACGCAACATCCGTCTGTGGTTTTGGTGATGCATTATGGCGTCTAACTTTGCGTATGAAGTCGTGCTGCACTTGGCGCGCATTCTGAACTGGTTTTTTTTTAACAGTAACTGCGTGCTGATTGCTGCTTTCTTGAATAATTCAGACATTGCATGATAATTACGAGACAGCTACATGAAAAAAAGAAGAAAAAGGAAAAAAGCAAGCAGAAGATTATAAAATGCAAGATTTGGTTGCCAGGAATTTTGAACGTCAGATAAACTGCACCAGCCGTCAGGCTGAATACAGCAGGCACGTAGTATAGGCACATAGCGTACAGGGGTGTTTTCTCTCCCATGCACACAGAGGAATCCCAGGATTGCGTGTGCACGACTTCCCTGGACATAAGCCAGCTGCATCCTTGGAAAACAAGGAGAGGGGGGGGGGGGGTAGTGGACAGGGGATTACTTTACGCTCTTTTGTTGTAATGCGTACCTCCCTTTTGCTTGAGTGTCAGGTTGCATGTTCTTTATTCTCGTCTTTCTTAGGCCTGTCATTTCGCTTGCTTTGCGGGACACGGTATATGTAAATGAATGGGCGGTGCTTGGCAAGTAGGTTACAGTGTTCCGTTTAGGAGCATGCAGTGCACTGGGTATGAGCGGTACATTTTCGATCTGCTGCCGAAACGCTCCCGTGTGAGCACCCAAGTTTTTTTGGTTCGTATGCGCGCGCACCGGGACTTTGCATTATGGAGGCCTTATAGGTCAACCGTTTGGAAGAAAGCTAGCGGAAGGAAGGTAATTGCTTCACGTTTGAAGTGGTGTTGTAATTGCTTTATGATGAATGGCTACGTAATGGCATCTTGATAGGGCTGGGTTCATTTGCAGTTCGTGGACTTAATTTGCGAGGCTTTGTAAATGGCACAGTGAGAAAACTCAAATTTCACAACGTAGGCATTCCCATGCAGTAGCTTCCTGGCCGTGTAATAGCTTGGCATCAAATTAATTAGCTTCATTAAGCTTCATTCAAAAAAGGGGAAAAGAAGACAAATAATTAACTAATGTAATTTGAAAATGGAATGCCCAGATCATTTGGCTATTGCTTCAACCTGCTTTGTTGTATTGGCTAAGAGAGGACATTTATTTAGTGCAATCCTTGATGCACAATTGAAAGTATGATTACATTTTGGGAATGGTAGGATATTGTTTTATTCTCTATGAATGTGCCTAACTATATGACCAGACCTGAACCGGAGCTGATAAGCCAAGTTGCAAGCTTGGACCACAAAATGCTAATTTCTTTTGAGAATGTTTGGTCATGTTCTGCTGAAATTTGGCTATCAGAAGTTCTAAGTGCATAGCTAGTCAAGCTTGACTTGGTTAAGAAGGTTGCAAAGGTCACACCTTGTCAGCTTAGTCAAGTTGAAAAGCTTATATATTATCTCTAAATAAAATGCAATACGTTTCGACCACTAGCCCATTTATTAGTCTTGTTTCAGCTGTACAAATGTTGCGATGGTAATTACAGACAGGAGTATTATTAAGCCTTTCACGATTACCGGGGAAGTCGAACTGGCTTTTTTTCTTTAGGAGCTGTGAATTTGCCCAAGCTTGTTGATTGTTGATGACAATGTTCTTCTCTTTTGACAACATGCTTTCAGGAGCTTAGTAAAGTTGCATTAAGGTCAAAATGAAGATTGATTACACTCAACTTTTTCCTGATAATACACCGACATGGTTCCACACAACGAGTCTAGTTTTCACATTTCACTGCAGCACTCTTCCTCATTCAAGCTCTTCTAACAGATGCAATCCTCACAATTTTTGTGATGGGGCATTAGTTTTTGTCATGCTGTATTGTCGTATGCTTATGTGATTTGTTATTTTTTTTTATGCAGGGAGAAAAGAACAATGGCTTCGATGTGCTGTACCATAACATGAAATATGGCTATCTCGCGGCCAAAGACTTGGCGGAGTTCTTCCGCGAGAGGTAAGTTTTCCCTGAAGTCGATGCAGCAGTGATGGAACGCTATTTCACTGGAGTTCTGCTATTGCTTAAAATAGGAAGAAAAAAAAGGAGAAGATTTCTTGCAGCAGTGTGCTTAGCTAGCTGATAACTTGTGATCAGCTAATGATTTTTGGCACCATGCGGTGTTTTCGTAAAATCGGAGAGCTATGTTCTATATTGGAGGTTTCTGCTTTCATTGCCGGTAAGCAGACAGAGGTCCAGAGAATATTTTCGACGTAGTTTGAGAATTGGTTGTACATGATCAGGGGTGCAACTGCCTCGAAAAGAGCCTTCCTTGAGGGTTTCGACAAGGTGGTTTAGTCTTCAACACTGCCGTTGGTGGGGAAAAAATGTTGTCTGCAAGCCTTCCAACGAAGGGTTTATTCGAGACTGCTTTTATCGGCAGAGCTATTGAATGGCAAAGGTTGTTGCTTGCCATTTTTCAGATTTTCTTTGTCCTTTTGTTGCATGTAGCACTTGGAAGCGATTCTCGGCCGTGAACAATATTCTTTTGATGCCTTGTGCCCCTTGTGCTTGTGTATGTGCCTTCCATTGTTTCTTTTCTACAAAGTGTGACTCATTTTGTTCCCGCTTTTCTGCTCAATTGTGCTGCTCCATTTAGTCATATTTTTGTAGTTTTGCTGAAAAGAATTCAGAAAATGAGTTACTGAGTGATTGATTTGAGAACCGAAACCTAGATGGGGCTACCAACAATGCTTTTCTCGGGGAGCGTACGAAGGTGCTAAAAAGCTTTTCCTCTTCCAATCAAAGGGAGTCATTAATGTTATAGATTTATTTAAAAGCATAAGGTTATATGAGCTGCACGTGAATGCAAACATTGTCGATAGTGAGAACTGAAACCACGCCTCACCTAGTTGTGTGCAGCGTAGAGTTGAAAGAAGCTCTGCATGTTGTGTGCCAGTGTTATGGGTTTTTACGCACTCTTGACATGTTTTATTGTGCTATCTACTTGGTTTTCTAAAACCTTCAAGTAAAACCAGTGATTATTGATTTAAGGGGATGAAATATGCCCATTTTCTGCCAGTGTTCTGTTGGTTGTTTTGCTATGCATTTCCTGTAGATTAAAAAAAGCCCTATATTTCATATAAATTTTGTTTATTTTTTTGGTAGTTAAGGCCTCTGCAGCATCTAAGTCACTAGAGATAGGTTTGTACAATTTCAAGTGCAAGCGAGGTTTCTTTGTGTGTTAACTTAATATAAAACGTGATGGGCGAAAACGGCGGCAGATGGACGAGACGATCGTAGACTAAGGAAGTACAGTTCTCCTGCCAATACAGTTGTCTTATTTTGAGCGCAAGCGAAGTTGATACACATGTTAACTAGCGCGAAATGGGAGTTAGGCCAAGGAAGTGCTGTTTCTCAACAAGGGCTAGCTACTTCGAGAACTGGTTGTGTTGTACTTTCAGCCTGTATTTATTTCTATGAAGGAAGTAGAGGGTCAGAAGACGGTGAAGGAAAGTGTAGTAGTTGTGTTGACTATAAGTGACACTCTGTTCCGTTAGCACAGTCTTTGGCCTAGCAGCTGGTGGAGCCACCATGCCATTCTGGCAGGCCTGTTTGTTCACTCTGGCGTGCTTGTCCATCCTTCTTTGTAGGCAGATTATTATTGTCTAACTCAGCTTCTGTCCCTCTTGTGCCATAGCTTTGTACTTCCATTGACGAGTTTCATTTTCGTTTCTTTGTCTGCCCTGTGGCCTTTGATGTGCGGTAGCTCTGAGAACAATGGGTCGTCTGAAACAATGCAATTGCTTCTGAAAGAGGGGACTAGCCATTGGAGCTGCTGGGGGTGACCGGGAAGTGCGGCGATTGCTTATTGGCAGTGGTGGCCGCTTTGTCTGAGAAGCAGTTCTGCGTGCTTGTTCAAACCACACACGTGGGGTGTGGTAGATCGAGGGAAGTCTGTTACTACTAGAGAGAAGGCGTGGCAGGAGCTTTGAATGAGTTACTTGAAGCAGTTGCCTTTCTTGACTATGTGCAGAGGGAGAAATGCTGTTCCCTGTTATGTATTAAATGTTCCCTAGCACTTTATGTGGTGTTATAGACAGATGTAGCAAAAAAAAAAGGATTTTTGCAGTGCGCTAAGGTTAGTTGCTTGAGCGTTAAAGAGTTGAAAATAAAAGCAAAAGTTTACTGCTATCGAAAGAAAAGAAGTTGAAGGCAGTGCACCTGTAAACAGTGCTAAACACTGCACTTTATCTGCACTTCAAGCATTATAATTTCATTGCACTTCAATAGTTACAATTTCATAAAGCACAATTTGTCTTTTGTTTCCCTTTTTTGTAGTTACATATATGCTAGCATTGCTTTTCGATTGGATTGTTATCTTCATCTGGCTCAATTCAGTTGTTTGATCTTCATGTGCAATAGTAGAGATCTTGCCTCCTTCTTTTTTCTTTTGATGCCTTTCTTTTATAGTATTTTGAATTGTTTCAACTGCTTAAAAGGACACAAAAGGCAAAAATTAAGTCGGTATTGATTGCTGAGATGGCGGTCCAGAAACCTTGTAGTGCTACTTTTGGGCCAAGGAAGTGCTCATATTGAAATGAAATCATGTTTTAGAGGCCTGCATCGCATTAATCCCTGGGACTCACTCGGACTCAGATTCGCGGCTCGATCCAAGTCTGAGCGAGTCCGAGTGAGTCGACTCACGAGTGAGTTCCCCGACCTATGCCTATTCGTGGCACATGTGTTCATGTGCATTTACATTAATTTGTCGGTAAGTAGGGCACTGCTATTGATCATATTGTCGTTTAGACAACAAATATGGAGGTTTCACTGTGACTTAAATTGTTATTTGACTTCAGTGTTATTTGACTTTAGTGTTTCTTTGAGAAATGCTTGAGCTTTTCGCACTAGCGAAATATCAGCGGGATCAACCTTTAAAACGTCATCGCATCAACGTAAAAAAGTTTGAGTAGGGCAAGTGACATCCTGTCAAGTGACTGTGATGTGTGTCGCCACATAATTGGGGGGGGGGGGGGGGGGGGGGGGTTGACCCTCTGACAGATTTAATTGTAGCTGTAGGTACCATATTTTAGGGGACACAGCTGTTATCTGACAGAGTGGCATGGTACTCAAATGCACTCACGGATGACTCACACAGCTTATTGTGGGGCTAGTGATGTTTATTACCTTTCTTTTTTTCATACCTTGTGCAGCAACAGGAAATTAAGGTTTGTGCATGCTTTAGTGGGGTACAGTTGAAGTCCTGAGTGAGCTGTTTTATAACATTTTCTGAAAATATATCTACATTTGTGAATTTTTAATTCTGGAAAATCTTGGCTCAATCTGAGTTGGCCGAGTCAGTCCTAATGCTCTGCTGCTGAGCTTGTTGTGACAGTTTTGATTTATTATTGTTCTGGCCTTCTTGCTAATGGTAGTGGAACATATGAACACCACTTAGGGAGCTGTGGGTGCATTGAAATGAAGTTGCATATGATGAGAATTAAATGTGGACTTGCCACTGGGATCCACTATGTGCAGATTAGTGCCCAATGGGTCGCTTTGCTAATCATGTGAACAGAGGTTTTACTCTTGGCCATGGCGGTTGCATTGCAGTGGAAGCAGAATACAAGAACACCAGTAGACCTACAGGAGTACTGACACAAGATTTTGAAGGTTAAATAACTTGAGAAATATGTTTTTGTGGACATGCACACGTCATCTCCAAAATAACAACAGCTAATATAGCTTATAACATATTTAAAATCTATTTAAATGTGAGTGTCACATAACCGCACATGAAGCGTCCCTTCTTATAACATTGACACCAACTTGGTTTTTAACGTAAATGCCCGCCTCCTGCATAATGAGTTTGTGTTGGCGACCATGGTTCCTGCGAGCACTCTCCCTTACAGGCCTTTTCAACAGAAAGAGGGGGGGGGGGGGGGCACTTGCTTTACGGACTTGCATGGGAGTATGAAAGCTGACCTCTTTGCCTCTGCAGTGAAATTCGGGAGGGCCATACATATTTACGCCTCATAGTGATTATAGTAGTACTCTGGAAGCTTTTGTTAAAAGTACTGCCGAAATGGTGCTCATCTGCCTGTGATTAGCAGTACTCGTGTAGCCAGCTATCTGTACATGACAAACACTCTGGGTCCCACCTCACTCGGCACTTTCCGGAACTGAAACTACAGTTGCGTGCTATAGTCTCCAAATATCCAACTGTTGTGCACTCGCGCGATGAGTATTGAAAAAAAAAAAAAGATACGTAAAATTTTTGTCAGTGCTCCCTTAAGCTTGGACACACATTAAGGAAACACAGGTGGTGGAAATTAATCTCCTCACTCTCAGCATGCCTCGTAATTGCATCGGGGTTTTGCCGCGTGGCATGCCGGAATATTTAGCGCACAGAAAAGTCACAGTCCTCTTGTGAAAGGCTGCCCCTGCTGCTGTGCAGGTCCCTGGTGGAGGAGTCCCACTCGAAGCTGCTGTCGAAGCTTGCCCGCCAGGCAGCCGGCTCCTGCTCGACGGGCACCTTTGGACCTTTATGGGGGGTGCTGCGCTCCACCTCCGAGAAGCTCTCCTCTCTTCATGCACAGATGGTGGCGCAGCTGCAAGACCTGGTCCGGGAGGTGTGTTGTGTTATTTAATAAAGAAAACACGCCTGGAAAAGTAAATTTGCTAGCTGAGCGCAAATTGTGGCACAGAGTAAAGAATGTGCAGTGTGGTATTTTTTTTGTTTTGTTCAGTGTCATTCATGGGGGAGGTCTAGGTTTTACTAAAAGCATAGTTTGGTAACGGTATGTGAACTGCTGGGTCTTAGCTTTCTGCATTGTCATGTTGTGATTATAAAGAATGCACCAGACAAAGTCTTAAGCCTTTGCAGTCCAAAAACTTTAGCAACTTTGGAGATATTTTGATCTGGAAACATTTTGTCAGTTTTAAGCACCTTGAAAGAAAAACAGCTGGGCAAGAAAAACTTATCATGTGTCCTTTTTTGCAGTTGATATTGTGCCGAAGACCTTCAGTGATATTTGGGCTGCGTGTGGTGCCCGACGGCACACCACTGTGGCTGTGTACAATCCTGACAGTGTGCCCCTGAAGGTTGAAAACTGAATTTTTTATGGGCAAATTGGTGCTATGCAGTATAAAGCATTCACATTACTTTGTATCACTACGCCACTCTCAACATGCATGGATTTTGCGGTGCAGTGGAAAGGAGAAGGCAAAGGAAGAGGAGAAGAAACGATGAACTTCCTCAGGGGCTGACTGTATCCACAACTTACACAATCAAACTTTGAGAAAAGGATCCCTTGGGTTGCAACACATTGGGTCCACCTAAAAACTAAGGCTGGAGCCACCTCCGCAACCAGGATTTTTTCTCGCCGCCAGACCTGTCAAAATGTGTACAGTTGAGTTGTCTCCGAAAATTTTTTCGATGCACCAATAAGTGCTGCATATGATTTTTACATTTTTCATCGTCATTCATTCATTCCAACTCTCCTTCAGCATTCTTGAAACTTGTATTGATGTACAGTTAATTTTGAATTGGTCTTGTGACCGAGTTGCACAGTAACTGGCTGCTAGTGGCTGCTTTGGTTGCAGAGCGACTTCTTTGGCTTAGTAGCTCTCTGTTAGATTTTTCGGTCACGTGACTGCACTTTCAAATCTCTGAATGAATCAGATGCACAGGAACAGGACGTTACCTTATTTTATATGGCAACGGCAATGCGAGCAGGCATGAATGTTGTGGGGTGACGGGTATAGGTCACAAGCAGGTGTGAACGACGTTCGTCTTGACTCATTCAGGTTGCCAAAAAAGGTCGTAGGTTCTGAACGAGCCTTGTGAAAAATGTGTGTCGTCTGGTGTGCACAGGTGCAACGCTACTGCGAGGAGCAGCACCGGCGGCACAAGCAGGTGAAGGAGGAGGAGGCACCCACGCTAGAGGTGGTGCAGGGCCTGCAGCAGACCACGGGGGCACTGGCCAAGGCCCGAGAGGCCTATGCCGCCCGATGTCTCGAGTTGGAGAAGCTCAAGCGGGAGTCCTCTCCGAAGGACCTGGACAAGGCGGAGGCCAAGGCACGCAAGGTCAGGGGCAGCGGTCGTCGTTGTTGCATTTTTTACAACGAAGCTGTATGCGGCAAGTTTCCGGCAGATTGCATTCATCGGGGAAATGACGTGTCGAACACAATTCCCGGAAGCGGATATAACACATTGGTTTATATATCAAGTGCCTTGTCTAAGGTGCACCTCTCCCTCTCACTACTGCTCATTCCTCTTTCACTAGTGCTGCTATACTTGGTGGTGGCACTTCTCACCACTCATTATACTCCTCTGTCTCATGACATAGAGGTTGCGCTATTGCTGTTATCAGCAGTTGCCCTTAATACTTGCTATGGGGTGGACACGCGTCACTTTTCTCATATGAAAAAGAGTGGCTATTGAAAGAACACGCAACGGGTGCAGAGGTGCAAATGATCTCAAAAACAATGTGAAGCTGTTGCCACAGAAGGTGCTGCCACTGCCGGTGCTTCGATCATAGCTTCGCCTGCTCCCGTCTTCGCAGTCGTGCAAACGCTTTGCATTTTTTATTCAAACTTTTTTTAAAAAGAAAGTTTGGCTCTGGCTCTTCTATTTACATAGATCGCTTGCAGCAAAGAGGAGTTCTGGTTGGCAATCGCTGTGCCCAAGTTGACGAATTTCGTTGTGACAGTCTTATGCAATCAGTGTGACTGGCGAAAGTTTTTGCACAGACTTTTGGTTGCCAAGCATGGCTTTATGGGCAGTTAAGCACTAGTAGCGTGAAGAGTTATTCTATGGGATTTTGGCATGAGTGTCGTGTGAACATCACAGGCGTGAATGTGAGCTTCTTTTTGTCGGGTGATGGAGCACAAAATGAGCTGAAAGGATAGTGCATTCTGGGAGCTTGGTTTTTGTTATTCACAATCGCGCGGCGTGACGGTTAATGATTTGATAAGAAGTGTAGTGAGAGTAAGTTGCTATAGACATGACTATTTCTTATGTTGCAGAGGCACTTGGTTGCCGCTCTTCAGTCCTCTTGGTGGGGCCTCACCTCTTTTCACTTGAAGTGGTCGCAAACTGTTTTTCCAAGTTTTCCAAAAGTCATTTTTTTTCCCCATTTAGAATTCATCACTTTCCACATTGACCGACACAAAAATTTCTCGAATCTGTTACAGGGGTTTTGTGGGTGCTTAATGTGCTCTCTCTCTGCTGCTGTCATGACTAGCACACTGCAAGCTGCACAAGGAGGGATGGCAGCATGGGTTAAAAGGAAGTTATGTCTGCATGTGTAGTGACCATGAGTGTGAGTGATGAAATGCGATCACTCTCTCCTGTTGTAATTTCGATGCGCGATTGTGTCCCATAATGTAATGGTAGCAGGTGATGGGAGTGCTGCACCGGCGCGTGGCCGCACCTTGTGACAAGGAGCGCATCTCATCTAAATGCTGCTCTTGATTGCGAGTCAGCTGTTGGCCAATGGCGTGCTGTCTGCAGGCTCCAGCATTTTCGAAGAGAGCAGGCATGTGCTTCTGTGAAAAGAGAAAAGTGGCTACTTTGCTTGCAGAGATGGCAGAGCTGGCAGAGATGTTCACGGCAGTGTCCGCTTTTCACACGTGTTTTTTACTAAGCCTGCGGGCTGATTGATGACCCTTTTAAAATGTTGCACCAATTATGGTTGGCAGTTGAACCTCTTTGTAAGAGACACGCACCGTAAAGCAGTTCTTGTTCCTTGAATGAGGTGTCTCTCCTAAGCAGGGTACCATGTTCGCACTTAATCAACCTCTGTTCCTACGTAGGCGTCTAAACCGTCTCTTATACCCAGTTGTCTCTTATACCAGGTCTGTTAGAAAAGTATCCTACTTTTTTTGGTTTTTGTGAACACTTGATGAATTTGAAACAAGCGTGTTTGCTCTAGTGTATAGTAAAAGCTCGTTAATTCGAACTGCAAGGGGAAGCCGCCTCAGTTCGAATTAACGAAAGTTTGAACTAACAAAAGTGAAGAACAACAATAGTACACTGCGAGTAGGGCATAACAATTTATTTTTTGAAAAAAATCTGTGATTGCGGTCTGCCTTTTTTCCTTGAAGGCGACAACCAGCACTTTTTGCTCTAACGAGCGAATTTGGCGGAAGGCCTCTTCTCTGCCTTCTTCAAAACTTCAGAAAAGACGGGCGGCATTCAATCCGGCCATGACTTCCGCAGCAGAGGGCGGCACTGGTGCTTCGTTCTCCTCCTCATCATTGTCACTGGCAGCGACACGTTCTGCACTTCTCACCTGACATATTATGTCGCCATCCGTGAGTGCACCACACACCACTGCACTTGAGTCCACATCGACGTAGTCCGCAAAGCGAACGTCTTCCAAAACGTCCGCCATGGGGGCAGTGACGCCATGTTTGAGCACTGGTGGCTCGTCAGCTTGCAGAGCTTTGGTGCTGAAGCCACAGTGGCGAAAGCAATTTGCTATCGTAAGCGCTGACACTTGCTCCCAAGCCCGCACAAGCATGTGTAGCGCACTTAGGAGTGTCACTTGGTAGTTATTGCACAAAATAATTCGTGATATTAAATTTCCAATTATACCCTGGTCCATGGGCTGCAGTACCGCTGTCGTGTTTGCTGGAAGGAAGGCCAGCTCAATGGCCTTCGTCTCAACGTTGACTTTATGAGCCGAACAGTTGTCCACAAGAAGCAGGACTTTGCGGCCACAGCGTTCGAGCTTCTTGTCAAGCTTCCCCAGCCACTGCGCAAAAAATTCCCCTGTCATCCAGGCCTTTTTGTTGGCCGCGTAGTCTGATGGGAGGGACCGGATGTTCTTGAAGCAACGAGGACTTCTCCATTTGCCTATCACAAACAGAGGCAACTTCTCGGTCCCGGTCATGTTCGCAGCAGCCATCACAGTTATCCGTTCTTTACTTTTCTTCCCTCCCGTGCACTTGTCGCCTTTATACATGATAGCTTTGGCGGGCAGCAATTTCAAAAATAAGGCAGTTTCATCCACATTAAATATGTCCTGCGGAGAATACTTCTCCATGTAGCCTTGAAGCACTTCGGAGCGCCAACCTTCACACGTTTCCATGTTGGCGGCGTTCATTTCACCCAACGCAGCACTGAAAACGAGGTTGTAGCGCTCGCGAAAACGGTGCAACCAGCCATCGGAAGCAGCAAAGTTGTCGTAGTCTAGCTGCAGGGCGAAGTCCGCTGCCTTTGCCAGTATGACTGGGCCACTCAGTGGTATGTCCTGCGAACGCATTTTCTTTATCCAAATGAGAAGCGCTTTCTCGAGGTCAGGATACTTTGCGGGCTGCAACATCCTCCTTTAAGATGCCTTAGAGGCAACTTCTGCCTCTAAGGCATCTTCAATAGTCCTCCTATTTTTTATATAAATAGATAGCATCGTTTTCGGTATCCCATGCTTTCTTGCGATATCTTGCTTAGGCAAGAGTCTAGCGTCCACTTCCTGCAGGATATCAGCTTTCTCCTGAAATGTTTTGGCACGGTATTTGCCACGCTCACACGCCATCAAGTCGGAGCAGCAGAATCGCGACAGACGGGAAGCTTCTACCGGCGCTACAGCAACAAGCGTTAGCCGAGGCCTAACACCAACACAAAGAATCGTGACAGTCGGAAGCTACTCCCAGCAACAACAACCGAAATGTACGACGCACACCCGAGACAGAGACTGCAGAGAAGGCTGGGCGAAGCTATGACGCACCCGATTTGCTGTGTGCTGGTCATGCCATCTGTCGTCTAACAGCGACAACTACGCAGGATTTTCAAAGGCTCCGAGATTGGCGCTTAAAAAAAAAGAACAAATCTTGGAGGTTACGTAGGACGGAGAGCAGGCAGCCGCTGAGAGAGAGAGATTGGGGGGGGGAGGGGGGTGAAGAGTAAGTGGCGCTATTTTCTGCACTCTGGCCTCCGTGCCCGTTTCTCCGTTTTTCTCTCCGCTCCCTGTCAACGCCGCCTTGTAACTCGGCAGCCGGCCCTATCCAGTGACTAGCCAAGCCGCCGGCGCGGTGGCGTGTAGTTCGAATTATTCGGGGCGGAAGCTACTCCCATTCGAATTAATGGGCTTTTTTATTCATAGGCTTGTATGGAGCTTGGCCGGACCATAACTTACAGTTTGAATTATCCATAAATTCGAATTATTGAAGTTTGAATTAACGAGCTCTCACTATATCTTCAATCTTTGCTTGCGCGAATTTTTTCCCGCCTATTGATAGCGTCGGTCGCTGGGACGCAACATTTCAGTGAGGTAGTGCGCTGTGCGTTCATCGAAATTTTACTGCAAGGAAGATACCGAGCAAATGAATTAGCGCTACTGCATCAAAATTTGCCAGAAACTGGGTGACAGCCAAGTGAAAACTATTCAAAAGCTTCAGACGATTTTCCGTGACGATGCTATCAGCAGCACACAGATTGATATGTGGGGTTTAACTTCCCAAAACCACCATATGATTATGAGAGACGCTGTAGTGGAGGGCTCTTAGAATTTCGACCACCTGGGGTTCTTTAACGCGCACCCAAATCTGAGCACACAGGCCTGCAGCATTTTCGTCTCCTTCGAAAATGCAGCTGCCGCAGCTGGTATTCGGTCCCGCGACCTGCGTGTCAGTAGCCGAGTATATTAGTCACTAGACCACCGTGGCGGGGCCAGCAGCACACAGATTAAGCAGTGGTACAACCAGCGTAAAGACTGCCACACATCAGTGAAGTGCGAGATGTTTTCTGGTCTGCCATCAACATGCTGAAATGATGAAGCCATTGCCAAGGTGAATGCTATGGTGATGCGAGACAGTCATTTGACTATCCGAGTAGTATCGGAAGAAGTAGGCACCAGCACTTTTTGCGTACATTTCACTATGACCAAAGATTTTTCCAAAAACAGAGCCGCGGTAAAATTTCAGCTAAAGCTGCTCACGGCGAAGCAAAAGCAACTTTGTGCTTTAATTCACAACGCTTTGGGCTGTTACATGATTTTTGCATGATAACGCAGTTTCTTCTAGTGGTACAAAACGAAGTCTCACAGGACATGCTGGATTCTATAAACACGTCATGAACACCATTATCACTGGTGACGAGTCTTGGGTGTACGGGTACGACCCGTAAACCAAATCTCAGTCCACACAGTTGGAGCATTCCACGTCACTAAAATCAAACACCCATAAAGTGCACCGCAATGTCAAAGGGATGCTAACTGCTTTCTTTGACTCTCGTGGTGTGGTACACTGCAAGTAGGCACCACAGGGTCAAACAGTCACCAAAAAGTATTACAGCAGTGTCCTCCATCGTGCCTAGGTGATGTCGTGTGATGCCAAAGACCAAAGTTGTGGTCAACAGGAAATTCGCACATCAATCACAGTAATGCTCCTACAAATTTCTCACTCTTAATTGAGACTTTTTTGGCGGAAAACCGGACTTCTGTAGATCAACAGGCTCCTTACTCTTCTGATATGACCCGCTGCAAGTTCTGGCTATTTTGCAATATCAAGAGGCTCTTTAGAGGAGCGCGATTTCAGGCAAGTGAGGACATTACTGGTGCAGCAACAGCTGAGCTAAGTGCCATTCCGAAGGAGGCCTTCCGAGAATGCTTCCAACAATGGTAGCACCGTTGCAAGATGTGTGTGTAGTCCCAAGGAGACTGCTTTGAGGGTGATTACGTTTCCAACACTCTAGTTATGTCAGTTTTTTTTTTCTTTGGCCAAAGGTCGAATACTTTACTAACAGACCTCGTATCAGTGCCTCTTATAAAGGGGTTATTATGCCTCCTGCTCAACTCTCCGGCTGCATTGTGTGTCCACAGGCATGCGAGGAGTACCGGCAGCTAGTGGAGCGGCACGGTGTGGTGCGGGCGGACTTTGAGCGGCGCATGGCCGGATCGTGCCAGCGGTTCCAGGAGCTTGAGGTGGGCCACCTTCAGCACATGAAGGAGTTCCTGGCAGGATACGCACGCGTCCTCGACAGCAGCCACGCCCTCGTGGGGCAGGTGCACGCCGAGTTCCGGCAGCAGTGTGATGCCCTGGACATAGACACGTTATTGCGGCAGTTTGCAGACGCTCGCCAGACGGGTTCTGAAAAGCCAGGTGAGATTATCGTTGCCTCCTTTTTCCTTTGTTAGTCGATTTACTGTGACTTTTTGTACAACAAAATCTGTCATGAGGTTACAACAGCCGATTTTTGAAGCCGTAGCTGTCTGCTGCTGCCACCAGTGTCCCTAACTACTATCATGCACAAGGACAAGAAATATCCAGGAGCGAGTGGGTTTTCAACCCAAGCCCTCTGTGTCGCATTCGAATATTCTACGGCAGCCACACCGGTATTTGAAACTTCTTGGGAAAGACCTTTCAGGCATCATGTTCGAAAAAGAATTATGTTAACAGATGTAACAAATTATTGTAGATGACTAAAATAGCAACTATACAGTCAAACCTCAATATATCGAACACGGATATATCGAATTATTGCCTATATCGAATGGTTCCTATATCACGCGGGAAATCGCATGCATTATTGATTTTTTATTTCGAACAAAGTTTGACATATAATAGATATATCGAACCCAGCCACCCCAAACCGCCCGCGCTTCATTGACAGGCGGCGAGCTTTCCCGCAACTCTCGAAAGTAGCGGTAGAGCGGCGGCCGTTTACGAATGCTGCACACATCGATGGCGCCGAGAGCGCCACTTTAACGTAGCGGCGTACGCGCGCCGCAGCCCTGCGGTAGAGGTTCTTGAATGAGGAAAGCGAAGAGAAAAGGGCATCGGTCGTTGTGCTCGCAGTGTTCGTGCGTTCGGAGTTGGGCCTGTCGCGCGCTGTGGTGCGCGACAGGCCTAACTCCGAACGGCGGAGCTCACGGCGGAGCTCACGGATGTGGACATTGTCGTCGAAGCTACTGCTGAGCAGCCAAATGAAGACTCTGCCGAGGTGGATACCGCAAGGGCTGATGGTGCCCCGCTCCAGACATTAGCTGAGGTCGTAGCTGCCTTGGCCCTTGTGCGCCGCAGTGGATTCAAGGCACCGGCCTATCACTTATGGATCGCCTGGACTATATTGAGGACGCAGTCGTCAAACACGCCATGGCCAACAAAAAGCAGGCTACTCTTTTTCAATATTTTAAACCAACACAATAAATACTATGTTTGAATCCTCAAGTGAGTATTTACTGCACCACGCTTGAACGGTTCCTTAGTCGTTTTCAGCAAGCTGTTGATGCATTTTTTTCGTGATTTTTTTATATCGAATTCTGGATATATCGAACTATTTCGCGATCGCCGCACCGTTCGATATATCGAGGTTCGACTGTACATCACACAATCCAAATTGTCTAATGAGTGAGTTGTTTAAGGCCTCGCATACATTACAAAGGGCTCAATCATATTTTTTTGTCATCAGCCACAGCATGGACATAATGGTATAATGTCTTACAGATGTGTAACGGGTACTTTGCTCTTATGCAGAATGATAAATAGTGGCATATTTGGTGTAGTAGTCACCGCGAGAGAGTTTACAACGGGTCGCCTCTCCAACTTTCGCTTTGACTGCACTGCGTGTTCGTGCAGGCCCAGTATTTTTTTTTTTTTTTTCAGTTATACTTCATTGCATATAATACGACACTTGTGTATGTACGCTGACCAGTTGTTAGCAGTCCTAAACACCTATTTCTTCATCGTGAGGCACAGCACTGGGCTATACATTTTGGTATGCATAATGTGCTCACAGAAAAAAAAAAGAAGAGTGACAAAAACTAGGACTGATTATCAACTCACCTTGTTGCTAAGAGTATGCAGCTATCTAATCCCATGTACTTGATAAGACCCAATGTGCCAATGTAGGATGGCATTGGCACATTGGTGAATCTAAATGAGCAAGTTTCTTATTGGTCAGAGCTACAGAAGAGCTACCAATATAACTGCCTTTGCAGTAGACGTGGTTTCAATGATAACTCTTGTGTTATCACATGATTGTCTAGATAGTATTGCCATCTTGTCAAAGAATAGAATGCAGCCACACTTTTTGGAACTTATACCAACAAAAAAAGGTCTTTTCTTTCCTGGACTTTTTAGTTGTGCTCCTGCGATCTTGCATTGTGCCATCCGCATCTCAGTCACACGTAACATAGTTCACAGAAAAGAGGTACGTTAGACACCACACCCCTTGAAGCCATCAACGAATTTCTCCCTTTGCTTTTTTTTTTTTTTGCACCTCTGATTTGCCATTCGATGCATGCATGCAAACACTGCAGACATGTGAACTTCAAGCTCTTTCCCGGGCAGTCCTGTGACCTGGTATTGTTTACTAAATCACTACTACCGGTTGAAGGCCTCTTTTAACGATCTTGTAATCCAATCTGGCCTTTGATGTAGTGAAGTACCCAGGTCAAAAGACATGCATTTTTTGTCTGCCGCTGTGCATAATAGATTCTTATGTTTCGCTGGTGATTTCAATTTTGTTTTTTTTCTGCCTTGCAAGATAAGATAACCATGCCTAGTGCTGCCTTGTTGCACATTTAGTTGTTTTACGGCAACCTTGTCGTGTTATGCTTTTCAACTTTCTCGATTCATATTGCCAACCGATTTTCTCACGTACTCTACTGAACTTCCTGTTTTTAGACGTGCATGCTGTAGTTGTCTCTAAACCCACTTCTCTCTTCAATATCTTCTGGAGTGCGAGGTACAAAGCACGGTAACGAATTTTGTTTTCAATAATTGTGCTGCGTGGAAATCCAGGGAAGTTAAAGAAGTACAATGTACGACATTCCCTGTACCTATTGTAAGAGAGATTCTTGGAGCTAAAGAATCAGTGACCGGACTGTAGTATTATTAATAAATGCAAGAATCTTGATTCATTTTATCATACTTTATTGAATAAGTGTATGTGACTGGCAATGCGAGAATTGGCATCTTATAATGCAGAGGTTAACCAGAGATGCCACAAAGCTAATGCTCCTGACACACGGGCACCCTGAAGTCCTTTAGACAAGGGGACATCTTTCGGAAAGGCGTTCAAGCGCAGTGACACACGACAAAGGAGTAACTCCTTTTCGGCCAAGATCCTTTTCGCATAAGCAGATCCCGCATCTACTTTTCTGGCAGGAAGGGAGTACTCTCGCATACAGTGTGCATAATTTCTCAATAGAAGAAAACGTGTCGCAACACTGCGGTGCCCTGTCAGTATTTTTTTGCGCTGATGAAATGTTTTCATTTTCAGCAGCAGTGTGATTTGTTGAAAAGTGAAGGCCTATGGTCTGTCCATACTCTCAAACGCCTGCATTACGTCACTAGCGCGATCATGTTAGGGTTGGCAGCGGCAGTTGCTGTCTGGGCGACAAGAGTCAGGCCCACCTCAACTGTTGCTTTATCTCTGTCTCTGCGCTGAGACATCGCAGGACCACGACGAAACGCGGCACGCCGTCACTGACCCAGCTGGACGCAGCCATGTAAAAAGCACGACAAAAAACAAAAACAGCAAAACACCGACTGTTCATAGTTGCCATACGAACTTAAGTTGCTGCTAAAAGCGCAAAAAAAAAAAGCGAAAGAAAATTACAGGTATGCGCATTATAAGTCACTAGACTATAAAAAAAACGGTTTTATGCTCCGGCGTCGCTGAATGTGATGTACATGAACAGATTCTTTTTAATATTTCCAATCTTGCTGCGTCCACAAACAGCGCCATTTTTTCTGCAGCGTTCTTCTGAGGCACCGCCTAAAGCAGTAGTCCGGTGCCGTGTGTCATCAGCGCCACTCCTTTCTGCAAATGGTCCCCTTAGGCGACAAAAGGGGTTTACTTCAAAGTACTTTACTTTTGCCCGTGTGTCACGGGTATTATATGGCAGTGGCTTACAAACGTTTTTCTTACCTGCTGGTGCAAGGCTTTGACTGTGTAATGTTCATTTACTGCCACAATTTTATTTCTACGTGAACCCTGATGCGACTGAAAAAAAACAAAACAATTTAGATGTTATGTACTTGTATAAAATTCCACTAAATGTCTCTAGCAGCTGTGCAATTTCCTTGTTCTTGAAGGGGTGTATTACATTAAACTCTCAGTAAACGGAAATATGTTTAACGGAACTACTGCTTAAAGGGAAATATTGCCTCTGCAATACTTGGTTACGGGCTTGTGTTCTGCAACCATGTTCACCTCTCAGTAAACAAAACTCCTGTTAAATGGAACATCCTTTCCCGGTCCCCTCAGGTTCCGTTTAGTGAGAGTCTACTGTACTGTGTAAATTAGTAAGCAAATGAGAACACTTGTTGGTCTATGTTGTCTTCTAGTCTCCTTACTGTAAACCTCTTATTTCATGTTTGCATTATGCGAGAGAGCTGTAGTGTTTCACGTTTTGCTGGCATCGGCGGCGTGCATCACTGGACACAATTTTCAAGTGGTGGCTGGCAAGCCATGCGAGCCATGGTCGTATCACCGAGGTTCTACAGTATCCACAAACTTGCAGAAATTTACAACCAAACTGAAATTCTCTAATAAGAAAGCGTGCGTGAAGATGTGTTCGGTCACCAATTGCCGTAACTCGTCACGCAGAGGTGATCACCTTCGAGGAGCCCGATCCGAGCCTGCAGCTCACGCCGACGAACGCGGCCACCACGGGGTCGCCGCCGTTCTTCACGACGTCCACACCCGCGCCGTCCGCGTCTGGCGCCGAGAACGGTCCCGTGCTGCCGGCCGACTTCTGCCCGACGTCGGCAGCGGCAGCGGCGCAGTCTTCGGCCGCCACCAATGGTCCGCAGGCGCCGGCGGCCAAGAAAGAAGGTAAAGGGCGGCGTCACCGCGCCATGTCTCTCCTGGACCTGTTTTTTTTCTCTCCGTCCCTGTCTGCCACGAAAACGCCGGCCCCTTCTTCTCCCCCCGCCGCCAACAACAACATCAACGCCACTGCCACCGCCACCACCACCACCACTGCACGTCATGCTGCTCCCGCCGCGGGTAGGTTCTAACTGTTCCCCCCTCTCATTGACATCTCATCTGTGAAACGGAAAATGCCATACCTTCACGCATGTAATCTGTGCCCCCCAAAATTTATAGATGCTGTTGGAGCTCAACTACCACCACCACAGATGTTGAAGGTTAACTCTTTGTGGCACAAGATTCACATTTGGAAACTTGACTTACTTTTGACATTTCTGTGCACTTTGTCTAGGGAGAAACTGCAAATGCTGAGCTGGTGTTGAATTAAGCATTTTTATAGCTTAACATTCTTTTATATCACTTCTGGTTGAAACACGATCACTCTAGTGAAGTACCGTGTTTAACGAAATGTTCGACGTGGAGTGCTCAGCAGAAATTTCAAAAGATTCTTGTTTTTACCATTATGAAATGCTCGCTGCCAGGAAGTAATTACCGCATGTAATTTGAGTGGGTCGTTGAATTTGGTTAATGAAGGAGGATAGCATAATTGACTGGCTGCAATTACGAGATAATTATTTACATTGTCATTATAAACAATTGCTGTAAAATACACTGTAATTAATTTTAACTCCTTCACTTGCTTTACATTTGTGCCCCAGAAACGTGGCATGAAATTATGGGAACTGCAAGCATTTATAGACAGCCAATCATAACATTTATTGCAAGGGTAATTTTTAAATATGTGCTTTTTTGTTTTACTTGGATGTGGCTTCACTATGGCAGTAGTTTGTCTACCAAGCAATGATTTGTATCTGAACAAGCATGAAATTCTTACTGTAAGCAGTAGAGCGGCGATTTTGTCAAGCCACATTCGAAAGCAAGGTTTTCCCTTGCCACAAAGCTGCATTGTGCTTCAAGGGAGAGTAGTTCAGAAAGCCTTCATGACTGCATGCGCAGAACAAATATAATTGCTTCTTGAGCACCACTTTCTTAATCAGTAGATCGATGTTAAATAGTAACAGACAGGTTCATAATCTTTCTAAGTTTTCAGAAAAGATGTTATTGTTAGTATACTGAGCCGTTCTTTACGTGATGGGCCTAAATACATACATGCGTGAATGTACGGCAAGTCATCCACCTGGTCGAGTTTCTCCGGCAGCACAGCTGTCTTCAGATGGATGACAAGTTTTCCTTTCATGAAACCTCCTGCACATCACCGATTCCTGCTGGACCTATTCCAGCATCCCTCATTTCTTTTTCCTGTCAACTCCTGTGAGCATTGAGATCCTATGGAATTTGCCACGACCCGCCACGGTGGTCTACTGGTTATGGTGCCCTGCTATTGATCTGAAGGTCGCAGGATGGAATCTTTCCCAGGGTGGCTGCATATAGTGAAATGCTGGAAACCCGTCTACTAATTTAGGTGCTAATAATTAAAGTACATAATAATTTAGGTGTGCACTAATTTAGGTGCTCATTAAAGAACCACAGGCGGTTGAAGTTTCTCGATCCCTCCACCGTGTTATCCCTCCTATTCGTATTGAGGTTTTGGGATGTAAAACCAGAACAGTTATTACATTACTGTTTCCGCATTCTAAAGGGAAAAAAGTGAAATGAACTGTTAGCTTGTGGAATGACCAAAACGATGTTCAATTTTATCGATGGACTTGTAGCTGCCGACGGACTCTGCGAGTGAGCATTCGTCTCTGGCAACGCCCCCTGATCCGTTTGCCGTAGCACAGCTCCCAAAGCAAAGCAGAAAGAAAAGTTCCATCTTCCTAAAGCAGAATTATTCAGGACACCTTGCATGTGGCCACTCACTTCTGCAGTTTCGCTGCACCAGTCGCTTGTCACGGTTGACCTGCTTGGCAGTACTGTGAAGGGAAAGAACACCTATTACTGACATGAATGTCTTACCAGATTGACGGCAGAACTTGTGGCTGCAGAGGCACCCCCAAGCAGGTAAACATGTAAAAGGAAAAGTGCCCTTAGTGAGGTTATTTTTTTTTTTTAAGGTACACTCATCATTTATGTATATTTGCGCATGTGTTTGGGCATGTGTATATATACACATGCCAAATAAAATATTTTTGGGAGTAAGGATTAGGGAACTTTAAGGGGACACTAAAGTTAAGTAACAATTTACGTCAGAGAAAGCTCAATGTATGACAAGATTTAAAACGGCAATGTTATGAACAACAGTGCCCTACTTACCGAGAAATTAAGGTAAATGCACAAGAACACAAGCGCCTCTGTAGGACATTCTCAAAATGATCCCAGTGACATCAGACGGACCGCCTACAATTAATCACTGGTAATCGATCCAGCTGCACTAAATAAAGAACCTTCCGTGCATGAAGAGATTCAATAAAATGCTGCTTGTTCGTTTTGGTTTGATTCATGAAAAAAAAAAGAACTGCCGGACGTTACTATGGGGAATGGCGCGAGTGGTTCGAAAATTTGATTTTCGCAAAGTTACACTGAACAGTTAGTGCCATCGAGTGAGGCGCAGTTGAACCAAAAATGTCTGCAATCTCTGAGCCAATGGCAGGAAATCGATCATTGGCCGTTGTTGCTCCTGTGGTTGCCGCTGCTTTCAGTCTGCTGTTACTAGCGCAGTAACGTCGGGCAACGTTGTGCACGGCAACAGTGACGTCAGTCGGTCCGCGTCTTGACGCGGGTGAATTGAAAAGCGCTAACCCGATGTGAACCACTAAAACGTGATTTTCTTTCAAAATAGGCCCTTCTTTGTCACAAAAGTAGCACTACGAGGTTTATCGATTGCTATTTCAACAATCAACGTTGGCTTAATAGTTGCCTTTAGTGTCCCTTTAATTCAAAAATGGGTAGCACAACAACTTGTGCAAAAAACAAGCAAATACGACAAATACTCGCATACATTATTCAACAAATTTTCTAAAGAGCTTGCGCATATAAACTGAACTATACTGCTTGCTTAGATATTCCTGAATAATTACGAGAATGCACACACGCTAAATAATGCTGTACTCACCGGGGAAAAAGAAGTCGTTGCGAGCGAATTGATTAGAACAAATCACCATAGTGTCCGTCACCTTCTTTCCAATGCGCGAATTTTTTATCTACCCCGTTCTCCATCGTGCGTCGTGTGCATCCTTCGAGAAGTGACAGAGCAGTGCGTTGTCATCCTTCCACCGTGATGCTAGCCATTACGACACCTAGCCATGGTCTCTGGCCTTTTTATAGCTTGAGAGCACAGATCATTGAAGTATGGATATCCAAAGCTCAATATTTGTACTTATGTGATACAAATACTTTTAAAAAAGGGCATTTGTCCTTAGAATTCACTTCACTGGATTCAGAAAAATGATTCCTTGTTTGACGAGTCATGTCAACTAACAGCCTTCATGCTTTGCTTGGTATGCTGAAGACATGGGCGCTGCTTCGTGGTAAACACTTGGTAGCAACCTCAAAAGAAAAAAAGAAAACAAATCATCAATCAAGAATCAGTGTAAGGCATCAATCCATTTTACCAATTTCTGGCCTTTTCCTCTCGGGTACTGTATCTAGTTGGTAGCATGGGCGGAATGTGGCTTAGACCACTAGCGCAGTGCCAAAAGAAACAGAATTGAAATTGTTCTGTTGTCTCAACACAAGTACTATATGTTGAAGGGCTTTGAAAAAACAAAGCAATAGGTGTCGCTTAACTCTATTTGCATAAAGAAAATTACTATACAGCACCAATTTCCTGGTCATAGTTATTTCACCCGGAAACGGTTGTAACAAAAGCTGGAGAAATGCAACGAAGTTTGGAAGAAGCAGTCCGATAGGCAGCCTTGCTACAGGCCATACGGTCGCTTAGTTCTTTCCTCTTAGCTCTTCCCGTGTTTCAGTTGCTGTACGCTCATTACTTTCGTCATTATTACCATTTCAGTATCTCTGCACTTGCTTATTAGTGAATGATTGTGTTTAATTATGTTTGGTACAAACCCACCCCTGGCGTTGTGGCAAACACATGGGGCACTCAATCCTCACATCCCTGGTTTCCTCAGCATTTTAATTTTCTTTATCATTTCTTCAGTGTATGATTAGGTTACCTTAAAATCACGAGCAAGCGCCCCTACCTGGACAAGTGCCACCTTTCCTGATTCGTCAGGTTTAAGATATGCGGCCTCTTCTCGCCTCTCGTCATTTTCAGTTTTGTTAACTGTTTTTATTCGCCTGACGAGGGCAAATGAAAACACTGAATTCATGGGTATTCAATAAAGCATTTAATTAGACACACAGGTGTACAATTCTTTATCCTTAGCTGCTTTTCTGTAGCCATCTTGAATTTCGATCCACGGCTGAGCAAACCCCATCTCCTCCTCCTCAAATCTTGTCGAATTATTGTTTAGTATAGGGGGACCGCTTGCTTGTGATTTTACGGTATTCAAAGCTTTGTCCATCACTTCTTCTGCCACCACCGTGTTTTGGCCAGTCTGATTTTCGTTTATTAAAAATATTTCTGCACTTGCGGGTTAGCGTGTTGGCATTCTATTCTATTCATCTCGTGTAACGTGTGCAAACGAAGCTTTTATCTTTTTAGCTGCCAGTACTACTAGCACTAGCGATAAAAATTGGGAAGAAACAATAGCATCCCCCGCACTAGATTAGGGAATCATATGTACTGCGAACTCAAGCTGAAATTTATTGCTCTGATGATTTCATTATCTGAACATGAATATGTTTCAAAAGGCCTGTTGCATACATCGATTCTCAGAATTAACGTCATGCACAAAAAAGGCTTGATGTGGGTTGCTGGGTCAAGTTAATGCTCCTTAGTTTGTTTCGACAGTATCAGTAGTGAATAGACCACAAAAGTGTAGTTCAGTTAACTATAAAGTCAGGACAGTGTCTCCATATGCATTTATACATTCTTAGAGACATTTCGGCGTGCACACAGTGGACGGGAAAACGGAAAAAAGCAAGAAGACGGACAGGCGCGAACTCACAGCTCAGTTTATTGAAAGAAATACACTAAATGCACGATGTTCGCTGTGTGCACGCCCCACAATGTTTCTGTGGATGTCCTTGAATCAACTCGCCCAGTTTTCCATGCTTTAGCATTTATACCTTTTGTTAACCCAATAAAGTAGGCAATGTTAGAATAAAGCAGTGCTAGTTTATGTATACACAAAAGGCAGGAGTTAAAACGAGTTGTCCTTGCTTATTTTCTTTTTTTCATTAAAAAAGGTTCATGCTATTCATAACAGACTTGTTATAGGAAACAAACTGAGGGGAAAAGAAATAGTAACACGATGCATTATCCCTTTTTGTGTATGTTTGTCTTTTTTTTTAAGCGCCGTTTTTGTTGTGGCCGCTTATCCATCCCTTCTTTCCACTGCTATCTCTCGTTTTCACGTCCGTACTGACATTTGATCTCTCCCACTTTCGTTTTACTTGTTCCCGCATGGTCGTTTATCTATTTTTGTTTGGCCTGTATCTTTTTTTTATCTGGAGAGAGGGAAAGACAGATAAGCAGGTGTTATTGCAAACACCATGAACTGTTTTCTACACACTTACCTAAAAGCATCTAGTCTGCGTAATGCATCTATTCAGTGCAGTGATTTCACACGATGAATGCACTGAACCTTTAAAATTCAACATTTATGATCCTTTCATTGGCCAATGTAGTAAAAATAAGGAAGTCTTGAAAATTTCTCCTCAACAACCCAAGTTTGAGGGGATAATAATTTTATGATTTATCCAGAATAGTTTTTCTTTTTGAACGTTTCCCAATAATAATTACTGTGTTTGTCTTTAGGGCTCTTTCTTGTGTTTTGTAGTGTGTGTTGAGCCTAGCATAGGTAGTATTAACTTGTTAATGTCTACCTAGCTCTATTTTAGTGACAGGTTTGAGGGCAAAGACGTTGTGGTGGCATGTCCAACGCGCTCTTGCAATGCGACGGGAAATTTCTCACTCCCAATTGGGAGTGAGAAATTTGCAGTGATTTCTCACTCCCAATTAACAATTTTTGTTCCTGTAAAGGACCAGGAACCATTCTGTAACAGCGCCACAATGCCTTTTCTGAAACACGAGAAAATATTGGTCTGCCAAAAGTTTTGTTCACTTCCGGGAAAGTTTTGTGAAATTTTTTTTTACATAAAGAGAGCTAAGAACATGATTGTGATGGGGTTAGCGGTAATATCAAAGTGGTGCCTGAAAAGTTAAACACAAGTGCCTTATTCGATAAGTGCAATATAAAATAGCTAAATTTTCGAACGCTGCTTTCATTGAATTCCATTCTTTGCAGAGGCAAATGACTAAAAGCATTTACAAGTTGTAGTGCAAAGTGTCACGGATGCATTAGAAGTCGAGACAACTTACATTAAAGCTAGTATGTTTCGCACCTTCATGTGTTTCTTGCTCTGCATATGACATATGTTCAATAGCGTGTTTTAGTACTGTCTACGTAGCGTCCATAACAGCTTCAAATATGCAATAAGGCCATGCTTTACGTGGAACGCATGCGCATAACTATTGGCTCCCGCGTACTGAGCTAGTTTTTTTTACATACACAGCACCATAACGGATGCAGCATACGGAGTCCTAAATCCTGATATTGACATGGAACAAGTTCAAGCAGTCGTAGTTCCGATTAAAAGGAGCAGTTGTGCACGTAAAAAAAAGGACTTTAAGCCCAGTTTTTATAATTCTTAAAAAAAAATTATTTCTATTCAGCCATTCATCAATAAAATTTGCACTGTTAGTAAATGAAGGTAAAAAAGTGGCAGAAAGATGACTCCACTAATTCAGAGGTGCTTGCTTATGCGTGAGCGTACTTGCATAGGTGCCGCACTGTAGTGTTTTAGCCATTACAAATGAGTGAGGGCATTACCTTTAATTATTGACTCAATTATGGACTGCATAATCACTTGTTTGCTTGTTTCTTCTTATTTTTTCCTTTGTGTATTTTGAGCCTGTTGTGTGATTTCTGTTGGTTTGTTTCGTTTCAGTGCTCGCGTATGCATTGTTCATCTGTGCCATTGTCATGCATGGAAGTTCACTGGCTCTTTTAAAAGGAACACTGTTTCTACTTACATCCTTAATTTTTTTCCTCCTTATTTTGTCTCTTTACGGGGTGGGCCGTTTTTACATGTTTGTTGTTTGCACTTGTCTTTTCTGTCGCACCACTCTACTGTGCTCGGCTGGTGTTTCGTACCTCACTTCCTCTCTCGTTACCTGCCGACGAGGTTGTCGACAGCACCTCGACGGGTTGTGTTTTATGTTTGCAACTCTGCTTTTTATTCGTAATTTTTTTTTCTGCTCGACCTTCGCTCTCGAGCAGCGCGCAGATACGCAGGTGCGCCGCTAAGCCTCGCTGGCTTCTCGCTGGCTGCATTGTTTCAGCTTCAGTTGCTGCGCCGCCTGTTCTAGATTTTTTGGCTTTGACTTTGGCTTGGATTTTCGCTCAGCCAAGCCACAGGTGGGAAAGGTGCCCCCTCCCCCCCCTTTTTTTTCTTTTTAGAACGAGACTGGAAACATTCCATGAAGTGAGTTGCCCAGACTTCTATAGGCCCTTGTGCTTCTGTTTTTTTCTTTTCTTTGATCTAGGCTTTTTTTTCTGCACTTTCTTGATTGTAGGGAAGATTCTAGTTTAATCTTTCGTTGCAGAGCTTAATAGTTCAGGTAATTATGTTGCTGCGTCTGCTTTAGTCTTAGCACAGAGCATATTTCAGAGTTAAGTCACTAAAGTTCTTAGAAGTGATTAACTCAGGCTTTCTTGATTGTGATCTGTTTAAACATTCCTTGTTTTGCACCATGAATAGATATAAGTTGTTTCTGGATAATTTCATAATGTTCAGTAATTGTGATAATTTAGCCGCTGTGGCACTTCAGGGCTTGTGCCTACAGTACAGAATTGAGGGTTTTATATACATCAGCATTTTCTCTTAACAGTGGTTGACGCTTTGAAACTTTGTGTTAACTGTAATTAATGATTTTAGAGCAAATTCAGCCATTCTGCTGACAAGGGTAGCTGTTACAATTTTTTGTTGGAGCTTAGCCCAATGCTAGCGCATATTTGTAGTCTATTGAAGTCGCACTCGTTGAAGGTATTGAAAAAGACATGGGGCAACATGGACGGGAGGTACCCAGTTGTGAGAGCTTAAGTTTTCTCTTTCCATGATATTTTGAGATTTGTGTTGCTTCCAAAGCCGTTAGAGACGCCGGCCGACGAACGGGCCCCTCCCAGTGCCAGAGATGCAGCATCAGCAAAACTGCGATCTGCAAAGCGCCACGCACTTTCACTCTTGAGGAAATGGCCAAAGGCGACGCCAAAGTGTACCGGTGGTCTCTGTTTCCCCCCCTTCAGGCGCAGGAGTCGATGCCAACGGCAGCCAAGCCAACTCCACAGCTGCCCCCAAGAGAGAGTCCCTTGCCCGAACCTCGCTGCGATCTTCTAAATGTAAAGTCTATAGTTTAGCTTCCAACATTTTTTTTTTACAATTCTCGTATGGTAGCAGTACGAATCAGTTGTTGAAAAGAGGCTGAAGAACGGAGAGATGAGGTACTGCTGAAACCGTTGCCGCCAGCGCAGCAGGGCACCGAAATCATCGCAGCGTCACGGACGTAGAGATAATAAGCGCAACTGACAAAACAGTAGCAGTGATGGCTTCTGTAAAGTTGACGAAAGCAGCTTGCAATTAACTTAAAACCTCCTATATAAGTACACTTCACTCCTGCAATTCAACAGTATAATCAAGTCACTGGTAATTATAGAAAACTACAAACATGCACTGTTTTCGTAGAGGCTGAATCAGTGTAACAGTGTCAGCATTGGTTTTGAAGACATGTTCTTTATGTTGCCCTGAGTTCTCTGATAATGATGTTGATTTGGCATAGTATTTCTTAGGATTTTCACATGCTGCTGAATTGCTATGACTCTGGCCTTGCGGTAATTAATAGAATTGGCATGGTTTTTATGACACAAGCAGCGATGTTTCATTACGAATTTGATCTCTGATGACTCATTCACTTTTCTTCGCAGTATGGAGACGTGCGAGTAGTGCCCGAGGCAATGCAATTTTTTCAGCGTTTTGTTGCACTTGCCGCAACATTGAAAGTGCCTCCTCTCTTCGTAGAATGCGGAAAGAATTTTTTTTTTTCTTTGAGCGATGACACATCTGCTCCCCGCCACGCACCGTCTTTTCCTTTGGAAGCACCCCACGCCACTCGCTTTCTTCACCTAACACACGCAACTGCTTTTCGATTAACCTGGAAAGCCCCTCTGCATGCCCGACTGGAATGGGAACTTGCAATGTTGGTCTCTCTGGCCTTCACCGGCAATGCACATGATGAACCAGCGACAGTATCGGCCAGCAGAGCCGGCTCTGTCAGGCGGTTATTGAACATACGCTCGGATAAGTCGTATCATGCGTGACCTGAAACCTGCCGGTGCTTGAACTTTCTATTAAGCAGAATAGTTGGCCCTGTCAAGAGTCTTTTATCTAAATAGTGATGTGCGAGTTAACTGCCAAGGCCTTCCACTTGGTATGTGCTGAGATCGTACAAATTTTCTGAGCTACAACTTTTAGAATGAACGTGTCTGTCAAAATGGTTTGTTAGTGGGTTTGTTAGTATACAGCAGTAGTAATAATAGCAGGAAAGCTGAAAGTCTTACATCAACCGAAGTACGAGATTTGGTATATGCACTTTCTGGGCTGGATTATCTCATAGAAGTTGGGGGCAGAGTAGATGGCAAGTGAAGCAACTTCACCAGGATGCCAACTTTTTTAATGAGATGGCTTAAAGGGACTCTAAAGAGAAAAATGATTTTTCTCAAATTCGTCAATTCCTCTCTCACTATAACAAAATCGCCATGTTTGCCGTGAGAAGATGCTTGGCAAGCGAGAAAACACGCAGAACGAAAATACGGGTGGCGACGCCAGCTTTCCAGAATCAATCACCATGGTGTCATAGATTTTGACACCATGTACTAGGGTATACGTCATTGCTAATCTAGTAAAAATGTAGTACATTGTCCTGTGAGGGGGTCATACTCTTAACATACAAAGTTTCAAGAAATTACATTGAGCCGATGCTGCCAAAATGTTAAAAATAATCTTTCATATCCGTGACGTCACGTGAAAGATTTCGGTGCAAAATTTAAAAGCGAAACTTTAACTTTGATTCTCTACTCTTTTAATGAATAGGCAATGGTGAAATTAATGTCATTAGTGTTTTCAGAGTGTAATTCATAAATCTAAGCCAATTTATTGTTTCACTTTAACATCCCTTTAGTATAGAGGAAGTACAGCTATGTACTGATAGTGGCAATTCTGCTAGCATCATTTTTGGCTGATCTGTTGGTGTACCGGCTATTTGAGTTGATAGGGGGCGTCCTAAAGTTCTCTACCTACGATAATTTTCATAGCAGTGATACCACAAAAGTTAGGAAAAATCATTCCGAGACATGCAACTTTATTTGATAAAATATTTGCTTGCATCAAAAGCACGGACTGCCATTTAGTGTTATTATTTTGTTGGCAAAAAAAAAAAATTCTGCATTATATTGTCGTCAGTGAGAACGTACTCGATATTTATTGAAATCATTAACACACCAAGTGATGCTCTTATGATTTTCTATTTCTTTTCACAATGGAAAAGATTGACGTAGACTATTCTGGTCAGACTATATGTTCGCTTTGGGAACTATGACTTAGCCATTGGCCTTAGATAAGATATGAATACATTACAAACGCAACCCTTTAATCGACTGGTTTAACAAAAAGTTAATGCAGGTGCTTCAGAAGAGCTTCATGATGTTACGCAGTGCATTTCACTGACCATTAAGAAGCCATTAAAATGTTGCCTTTATTGGCACTTTAGATATATCATAGTAGCTTCATAATATCGATTACTAAGCAGAGTAGTTTGCATTTGCAATATTGCTGTGTCATTAGGGCCTGTTGTTAGTACTGTGGCAGGTAGTTCTAGTTCATACTGTTAACTGTGTACAGTTCTGTGATGTCTGCTGTGATATCAAAATTTAGTGACTTAGTGTGCTGTCAGTCAGTACAATTAAGTGAAATGGCGTAAAAGTGACTGACGCGAGTACTGTCATGATTCCTCAGCAGCATCTCGTCAATGGGGTACTGGCAGGGTCATCCTTTTTCATAAGCTTTCTAAGCATCATTTGCACGTCTAATGCTGTAAACAGCTATATCTGGATTCAAAATACACCTCTTGTTGTGTATTGACTTCTTGCACTGCTGTTACCCTACTAATGTTTTGTCTCAATTCGTTAACACTTTTTTCTGATCACTTAATTTTATGTCATACTAATTGAACCTTGAATGAGAAGTTTGAACACGTTTCATGATGCTTATTGGCTGCAGCATCCCATAGATGCTGGGCCAAGCACTAAATATCTGACGTACTCGAAGTACCTTCGTAAACGTGTCAAAAGTATGTCAGCAGGCCTAAAATGATATGTCATTGAAGAAACTGTCGTTGTAGTCAACACTCAGACAAGGAGAGTTCTGTTTTTTGGGGCAAGAGGTTGTCAAGTACCCTTCACTTTGTCGCTGCTGGGGTTGTAGTCAGTGTTACACTATTGTCACTTTAGTATTATTACGCCAGTGTTACACCAGTGTTGCAAAAGCATTAAACAAGGCGTGGTACACTAATATTTAAATACAAATTCTCACTTACTATGACTTCTTCACACTTCAAGTATTTGGCTCATTTAAATTGGCAGTGATAGAGGTACATGCCCTCTGTGCAAGTGAGGTTCTTTGCAAATGGTTCATCCTCTTTGACCTGCTTTTCGTTTCTGCCAACACAAGAAGCTTGCAATTTTACTGCACTAGGTGCATGGTAGTGACGAAGCACTTCATGACTGGTGGTGGCAGTGCTTTATATTGGTTAACGATTGCCCTTGTTGCTGAGGTGACGGTGCTTCCTCGCCATCTGGCACAGTGGGTTGCTCGTTAGACGCTCAATCGCTTCTTCCCCTCTTGCCTTTTTCACATCGTCACTTCACCCATCTCACCACCACCACCACCCTTCGTTTTTTGCACCCTTGAGCCATCTCTCGCATCACGCTTTTGTTTTTTCACCCTTTGGGAGCAGCAAGCAGCGGCGGCAGAAGCAGCGCGCCGGCGGTCACGGCGGTGGCAGTGGCGGTGACTCATCGCTTTTCTTGTTCTTTTAGTCCTTTTTTTCTGTTTAAATATTTTTTTAGAGAAACGGTAAGAGAAGTGGCAGGTATGTGAAGTGACAGTGGTGATTTGTTTACAAGCCACGCTCTCCTCTGTTAAGTACCGTATATACTCGTGTAAGGGCCGCCCTCGTGTAAGGGCCGCACCCCAACTTTGAAAGCGGATATTTCGAAAAAAAAAAACAAAAGTTCAAAATGTCCCGCCAGAAAAGTGTAGTTAGTTCATTTACAGCCAGATGGCGCTGCACGCTTTTCCGCTTTTATTCTACTTCCGCCGACGCGCCGACCACGCTGTTGACAGCGCGCCGCCATATTTGCCTTGTGCGGCCTCTTTGTTGGCATCGTTCCTAGCATCGTGTCGATACGTTGGCAGCGCGACTTCAGATCGGTGTCGTCGGTGTCACTTTGTTGGTTGTAGTGAACCCTGCAGAAGCCAGCGCACGTGACGGACGATGGGCCGGCATCTGAGATCATTCACTGCAGCATTTAAGCTGCAAGTGATTGACTATGCCGAGGAGCACGGGAAGCGGGAAGCTGGACGAAAGTACGACGTCGATGAGAAGCGCGTGCGTTACTGGATGAATCAGAAAGATGCCCTCGCCGCTACTAACAGGAGCCGAAAGGCGTTTCGCGGGAAAAAGTGCAAGTACCCGCAACTCGAAAGCGAGCTCGTCAACTACGTCGTCGACACACGAAGGGACGGCTACGCCGTATCGACTGACATGATACGCGTCAAAGCCCTCAGCATCGCTCGCCACATGGAAATACCCCCGGCACAATTCAAGGAAAGTCGGGGCTGGGCTACGCGGTTTATGAACCGTAACCAGCTTTCTATTCGGCGCCGAACGACGATTTGCCAAAAACTGCCGCGCGAGTACGAAGACCACGTCATTAAGTTTCATCGCTTCGTGAATGCTCTCAGGAGGGAGCATGAATACGACCTGTCCCAAATTGGGAATGCGGACCAGACACCTGTGTGGTTCGATGCACCGGAAAGCACCACAGTGGATTTAAAAGGTGCGAAAAGTGTGTCTGTGCGCACGACTGGTGCAGAACGCCAAAGGTGCACTGTGATGTTGTGCATCACGGCAGACGGCAGGAGGCTTCCGCCGTACGTCGTATTTAAAAGGAAGACTCTCCCAAAAGAGAAGTTCCCTCAGGGAATCGTCGTACGTGCGCAAGAGAAGGGCTGGATGTCCGAGGAACTGGTCGTTGACTGGATTAAGACCGTCTGGGCAAACAGACCTGGAGGGCTGTTACAACGGAAAGCCCTCCTTGTTTTGGACAGCTTTAGGGGCCACTTGACCGACCGCGTCAAGAACCGAGTTGCCGCAACTCGTACGGACTTGGCCGTCATTCCCGGTGGCCTGACGAGTGTGCTGCAGCCGCTCGACGTATGCGTCAACAGACCATTCAAAGTGGAATTTCGCCGATGTTACTCTGAATGGATGGCTGGAGGCGTCCACGAGAAGACCCCTACAGGACGGCTGAAGCGGGCGTCGCTCCAACAGGTGTGTGAATGGATTTTGAATGCGTGGCGTGCCATGTCAGTAGAAGTAGTTGCTAAAAGCTTCAAGGTAACGGGAATTTCGAACTCCATGAACGGCACCGAAGATGACCGTCTCTGGGAAGACGCGGACGCCGAGGCGAGCTCCTCCGAGAACGAGGACAGCGAAATGGAATCCGAATAAAAACATTTCTGGCATGTCATTTGTGACTCTTGCACTCTGCTACTGTTGCATAAACAGTACAGACCTTTGGCCTGTACTGCCTGTACTAAATCGGCCTGATTCGTGTAAGGGCCGCACCTAGCAAAATTTTCGAAAAAAAAGTGCGGCCCTTACACGAGTATATACGGTAGCAAGCACCCAAGTGGTAGGGGAATGGAGGGAGGGGGTTATACAACCCACAAGCAATCAGGATTTGAACATTTGTTTGCTTCAGCACTTTTACTAGCGGTATTTGGATATTGTCAGCATTTGCACCAGCATATTTAGGCAGGCTGGTATCATCTGGAAAGTGTAACTTTGCGTGGTGACAGCAAAAAGGGGCCGTAGTGTAGTCATTTTAGAGGGTGTGGCACCAGCAGAAAATGTCTGCTTTACGTGATGAGAATAAGCATGTCCTTGTGGTACAGTAATCTCTTAAGGCTTTGTGTTAGTATCAGTACATCCGTTCTGTAACTACCCACTATCCCATCGTTAATAGTACTTTGAACATATTGGTACCGAAATCATTGAACTTGTTGTATCAGCAGAAGTCTTCAATTTTGTCCGCTGTCTTAGCTAGGTTAAAGGGGCCCTTAAACTTTGTTGTGAATATCCATGGAATTAATTCACTGGAAAAGCGCATTACCTCACAAATTGAAAGCCGCAAAAATTTTAAGAATCTGTCCAGTACGAGCGGAGTTACGAATATTTGTCACATGCTGCAATCACATTCTCTCTCCTCTCGTCCCAGCAAAAGCGCTGGAAGCTGAGCAGGGAGGGAGGGGCAAACAAAAAACGTCACTCGCGTCTCGTCACCTTGAGGATTTGTTTCTTTTTTTTTTTTCTAATACGCTGCTTTTTCAGTGCGATCGCGGGTGCACGCTTGGACAAGTGACGGCTTCTTGCGGCGAGCTTTGTAACAACCGAGCGCACCATGTTCGAATCAGCCAACGGCTGATAGATGGGCTTACTGGGCTTAAAACTGTGATTTGTCGAGAGAAGAGAAAGCTATCTTTAACTGACTTTGATGATTTATTGTGAATTCCAGGCCGTGTTCTGTGCTATAATGCTTGGCTCGCGTGTTATAGGGAGCCTCTACTACCGAACAGCAGCATTTTCTGACCATGCTCAAAAAGTGTTGCAGGGCCCCTTTAACAATGTTACTGTAAATTGAGAGCATGAAAGGGATTTCCATTATATTCGCTGGGCTGTTCTTGGTGTGTTTGTATTCTTTGGTTGCAAAAGCCTTGTGTGATGAACTAGACAGAATAAAAACAATTAATGAAAGGTGTTTTAAATTGAAGCTTGCTTCTATAGTAATTAAGTGCATTGCTAAAATAAAAAAAATGAGGAGGGTTTAGCTTGTAAACATATTGCCATTTCTTATTTAACGTACGACCTTTTATGTGATAGTTTATTAATTCTATGAGAGTAGATTCCCGCTAGTTCACTCCCACTTGAGAATGACTGGGCCAGTGCATTTCGTTGCCTTCTCAATTTATTTTTGAACAGACTTTTGTTACATAGTGTTCCTTAGCAGTAGTTTCGTTCAACACTGTCATCTGCACTAACTTTATAGTGGTTATGCAACTATAAATGCATTTTAATATTTGCTAATGTACATAATTAATAATCTGGAATGCTGAATCAGTGTCATTTAATTGCTGTCATTTACCCAGCAATAGTCTGATCTATCGCGCCTGTATGTACCTGAGAGGGGGCTCTTCATCTTTGATCAGAAGCGACTTTTTTTTTTTTCCCGCTGTCATTCCAAGCAAGTTATGTTATGGTCAGTTATAGTGCGCACCTTCATGTGTAGAGTTAATGAAGGATGAGTGTACTATGAACATATTTACTTAACAACTAGAGTTCAGTGGTTGGAAGAGGAGGTTATTTTGTCAGTAGTGCTATGTGCTGAATGTGGAGGCGTTTGTTACTCATAAACCGTTCATAAACATTCGCAGTAAGAGCTAAGTGGAAGATAGCAGGCTAGCACTTCTTATGTGTGCTTGTACAGGTCGTTAGTAGTCTACTGCTGGATGCCATTACCACATTCTTGGTTCCCTGCTGTGGGACAGAAAGCCAGGCGACATTTACAATATGTAACATTTTTTTCATTTGCGTATGTCACAGTAAACAGGCAGCCAAATGTAAATATGGCCTCAGAAATAAAGAATAACCTTTTGACATCTTTAATAAAGGGACTAAATAGTTTCTCTGCCCCGAGAGAATTTCTCTAAACAAAAATGAAGGGCCGCCTCTGTGGTGCGCGCAATAAAATCTCAATTTTTTGTGAGAACGCAATACTGTGTTGCATGCAGGGTAGCTCCTTGTGCCACAGTTTCAGTTTCTTGTGCCAGGCTTTGTTGATAAATTGTGCCGCCTAGTTGTTTAGTCTCCGCGTTTACCGTTGACAAATTAGTAATTTGCTAAACTAGTGTTGCCTATTAGCGTAGTACTAGTGACTGCAGTAATAGCAGACAATAAGGATACTACTAGAATTGCCTATTGTTATATGTTTTGTCTGTCGTTCAAAAAAGCAAACTTTCATAGACAGCAGATATATTCCGCTGTGCTTAATAGTACGTAGTGCTGTCATTTGCTTCTAATCCCAGCAGCTAACCGTATTGTAGTGAGTAGTAGCACGCTTCCATGCTTTGCACTGTTACAAGCTGTATTTGTAGCTGTGTTGTCAAGTGCTGTTCTTTCTAGCTCGAAAAATGTGCGCTGCAACCATGAACATATAGGTCACAGGAGGTAGGATTGCGGCGAGTCTAGCAGCAGTGCGTATTATTTGGCTTGATAACTCGTGTAACTGGGTAAATGTAATACAGTTGAAAAGCTTAAAATTTTCAACATCTTAAAGTCGTAGTTTAAGGGGAATTTTCAATCAGTCTGTTAATCCATTTTGTGAAAAACAAGGATTTAGAACTCTTTAAATGCAATGGTTTGTAATCTTGTATGTATTAATAAAAGCAAGTAGCTGTACAAGTTACCAAGAATGGACTGTGTAAATGCAGTCGCATTATGGACACTACACTAGTAAACCAGTAATAATTTGGGTGGCTGCGAGGTAAGGGCGTTACATCCAGTTTTTCAATGTAGGCAGCCATCTTAGAGCTTTAGAGAGTGCAATGACATTTGCAAGCACGAAGGGAGGGCTTATAGTCTGTTGAATTGAAAGCAAGCAGTAACACTCAGCTTCATGCTGTTCAAAAAATGAAAAGCTAGGTGGACCTGATTTTAGCGACAACTCATTCAGACTCCATACTTTCAAGACAGAACGCAGGTTTAGTGCAAGTTCCTGAGACAACAGCTTACGTGGCCTCCATTTTTCTTCCTACTTCTCCTTACGGTTAGTGTTGTTGCAACGTCAAGAAATTGAAATTGTTGCTGAAATGGAAAAGCAGCACGAAATACGCAGACAGAGGAAAGATCTACGCGCTCATGAAGGATTTTACTACTTTCACTTTATTTGCTTACACTAAGTGCAGTTTTAGTTAGCATCGATTTGAACTCTTTTCTATTAAATCTTTTGTGATGCTTAGCTGTTCAGATCACCAAGTTTGCGTTCCTGCATTGGAAGTTGCATAAATAAATATATATATATATGAGAATCATGTCATGGCTAGGTAGGCACCTAATCTCGATTGGCTGTATGCTCCGCTTCCAGCTTTAGTTGGTCGAGGCGAGAGTGAAGACAGTGTGTGTGATGCCCGTGTTTCTTGTGGGTGACTGGGGTCACAGGGTTCTTGAGAACCAAGTGGGAACGGCAGAAAGAAAAACGCAAGCGAAAGAAGGAGATGTCTTCCAAGGACGCGTCGACCACGAGCGGAGAGGCGTGAGTATCGGACTTGTTCGTTTTTTTTTTTAAATAGGTTTGTTATCTTCATCTCTCTTCCTGCGCATATGGCTTTGCATTGCTTTCTGTGCATCTCGTAATCATCATCTAAGCTTGAGAGGCAAAGTGGGCGTTAACTCACAACTGAGGCATGCATCCATTCAAGCTACGGACAGGCTTCTATTTACGTCACCTCTTGTTTCTAAATCACTCGAACTAGGGGTAGATACTTAAACTGAGTCGTATGCGCGCGCCGTAATCTGAATTTTTCTTTCTGAGAATTCCCCTAAAAAAAAGAGAAGGGGGTTCTTTCATCCCCAGTTTGCTAAAGCCACTAAGCACAACCTGCAATGGTCGCAAGGCGCTCATTGCCCTAATGAGCCTGCATTGGCAGGGGTATTCCACCGCTTTCGGAACGGTTTGTTAGGAACAGTTGAAATGGGTGTTGTCTTTCTTAGCACAGGCGGGGTTAACTTCTGGTCATATAAGTTGTAATGAATTTGACTTTCTGAATATTTGCATCATTTTCTTGTTGAAGCAGATCATATCGTACCATTACTTAAAAAAAAAGCTTTGTTTTTATGGAGTTGCTAAATTTTGCATGTAGTTATTAACTCCGTAGCAACATATTTTCTTACTTTTATGCTGCTCTACTTAAGAAGCCAGTGGGATGCAGAATCGGTTAAACCTCACAAGTTGCCCACACAGAGCACCTGTTTTTCACTGGGAATCGTTTTGTTTCACACAGTTGGAAAATTGTCTTTTTTTCACTTGCCTATTTGTTGTCTGTTTTTTTTTTTTTCACGAAGCACACAATTTTTGCTCGTGTCTTGGATGATGTGGTGTTGGTCTGGTTGATGTGCTGTGGATTGACTAACTGCACCTCCCTGTGCAAACGTTGTCACTTGGGAGTCACGTGTGCCCTCACGTGTGCTTGCTACGTGTCCACTAACACTGCTGCTTGTGCCATGTCAGAGGTGCGCTCTCACGTTCAAAGCTTGTCGACCTTCAATGTGGATGACAGCCAAACGTCTGCCAAAGATCGCACAAAATAAATGCGGTCATGAAGTATAAAAAGCCTCCCAATCTTGGTCATGTAGCTGCCATGTAGAAACTGAAAATTGAGCAACTTAACAACAGCTCAGTTACAGGCCAACATGTGATGTATAGCAGGAAAACAGTAATATTGCTATCAAGCAAGAACAAGTACAGCCATGTACTGAGCATGAATGGTAGAAGAACAGACCTTCAGTACAGCTTGAGATTGGAAAATTTGTTAGTGATACTTCAATTTGTGAAGCACTGGGACACCCTGCGAACCTGTTTGATATCTCCAGGCTAAAGAAAGAAAACCTGCAGTTTTAATTACAAGCCGATTGTAAGTTTCAAAACGGAAAGAGAAAGCACTTAAAGCGCATGACGAATTCCCGTAACCCCGCCCATACTTGACAGATTTTTAAAATGTTTGCGACAGTCAATTAGTGAGGCAGTAAATGGCAAAAAAAGAAGGGGGACGAAGTGAAGGCACCAACTGACGAACATGGGCATCTTGCGTTCGAGTCTTCACTTCCTCCTCGTCCTTCTCGAGTCATACCTATTTTTCTGAATTTCTGAACTAACTAGCTCAGCAACAACAGCTGTTATGGCGAGAGTGGTCTTTTGATGAGAGAAAGAGCATTACACCTTTTGCAAGGGGTGTCGCAGGACTCCTTGTAACGTAGATACTTAAAGCAAATCTCATGCACGAAGCGAATGCTGACCTGGACGAGTTTCAGATTGAGCGCAAAACACGTCTTCTCCTAAAGCAAGGCGGCCGCCTGGGTGGCGCTCGCTCCTCAGGGCACGAGTCGCTCTGGGCCGAGCCGGCGGCAGTGGCACCCTGCACGAACCGTCGCCGCCCTGCGAACGTAGCACGCTCCGGCGGCTCTCGGTCGAACAGCCTCGAGCCACCTCTGACCTCGATTCACTCTTCCACGTGCCGGTCTGCACGGCAACCACGGCAACCACTTCGGTGGTGCCGGTGCCCACCAGGTTAGTTGTTCCAGTGTGAGGCGGTGGCAGCGAGCAGTAGTTGGTATGCAAATGATTCTCGGGCTCCGAGAGCTGTGCAATTGAAAGTGGGAATTAGAGTGATAGGTGCAATGGTAATGTGTCCGTCTGTGAAATTCTTAAACTTATAAAAATCTTGTTCTTTCATCCTTTTCTACAATTGAGGAAGCATAATTAGGTATACCCTCTGCAGTAGCAGCCGTTAGTTGCAGAAAAATAGTTCATAATCTTAGCTTCTCAATGTCACGGATGCATTTTGTTGAGGGTAGAATGTACTAGTACACTTGTGTAGTCTTTCAAGTGCACATGAGAGGATACCACGGGGCTCAAGCAGTCTTCGAGTCCTTTGCTGCAGTATCCCTCCCTAATATTGAGTTTCAACGTGCAACAGGCTCACTACTTCAATCAGTCAACCAGTCAAAGGTCATTCTCTAATTAGGATGCTATAAGGAATGACCATCTGGATAACAAGGTAGTAGACACATAGGAAGGCTATGCTACTATCAATCAATCAATCAACCAATAAATCAATCAATGATTGATAAATCAAACACACAAATAGACTATCAAAGATCTCCATGGTATTGGGAATGAGAATTTAGCACACGCATATAAAGACTTTGCTACAAGACTTGACGTTGTTTCTGTCTTGGGTGAAACTGTGTGTTTGTGTGTGTGTATGTAGTTTTCACGATGGTCCGGTGAGGTGCCCCTTCATGCGCCACTACGAGAATACCGTCATATCGGTGTGTATTGGGCAACAGCGTGAGGCTAGCGGTCGTGTTGGCTTTGCCTACTAACGTTGCTGCTGCGCTGCTACTAACAAGCTCTTTGTATACCACAGCTTCTGCATGCGTTTTTGTTTCCACCGTGCTTGAATTTGTGTGTTCACTACACTGTTTGCTCTTTACTTTCTCACTTGTCCGCTAACTGCACGTTTCACTTTGGTCTAGAGATTACATTTGTGTAGCTGTGTTGTTTTCACCTGGACATTATTTGAATGCGTGGAACTAGGAAAATGAAATGGAAGTGTTAGTCATAAGCTTGAGTATTAAAGAAACTGGCATTCTGTGTTACTGAGAAATCAGCTTAATGAATGAAGCAATTTCTTTCACGCTGTGTTTGCACAACAACAAATGTGTGCCTTACAGACATAGTTTCACTGTCTACAGATAAAGGTAGCTCTTTCTCATTTTGTTTGTCTCTATTACAAACAGCTTAGATCAGCTCAGTAATTCAAATAAATATGCAGGAACAAAACCTTTGGAATGCAGAACATGCGGGTTGCTGCTCGTGTCTGTGCATGTTGACAAGGTTGATTATGGCAAAGATATCTGAAGTTGCATTGTTCTACAATTTAAAAGGCTTCCTATTAAATGTATTTATATGCATATTTTATTTATTTATATGTATACGTATTTTATCACACAGCTTTTTTTTTTAGCGATGTTCCGATTGGAATATTTTGATTTACTGCCAACAGTGAAAAATTGTCTCTTGTTGCTGGCTACACATTGAATCTGATAAACAACTCTTAGAAGATCTTAGAAGAGCGTACCCCGCAAATTTCTGAATTTTCACAGTAAAAGTTCTCAGGCCGTGCAGAAAATGTGTAATTGTAGGCAGCTTGTATCTTGTATAATGCATTTGACAAAGCCCCATGTTTCACTCAAGCGTTTGAAGGTTTATGACTTTGGAAAATAGTTATGAAAATATTCTCATTAAATTGGCACCTGTTTCTTTTCCTGCTCGTCTGGCTTTTTCCTTAGAGACAGCAAGGAATCTGAAGAACAGGTAAGTTTGCCTTTTGTTGCTTTAACAGAAGCTTTATTGAGCTTCATCATTACAAATTGAATGGCTGAAGTGCTGTTTACTCCATTGGGACAAGCATGATACACAGCACTTTCTTCTGTAGAACGCCGAAGTCGACGAAGAAGGTTATACAGTACGGCCATCATCGGAGCGTCACAAAGAAAGTATCCTTTGTCTCGCTCAGTGTTATCAGACTTTTCGATAGTAGCGTAACGGCGTGGTGATATTTAAGGTGGTGCCCTCCGCTGCTAAAGAATGCACAACTTTATGCTATTTTCTTAACCACTGGCTCCTTCAGATGACAGGGACAGTTTTTATTCAAGTTCAGACGGTGATTCAGGTGAGACCCTTTTCTTCATTTGCGGGGTTGAGCGACAGTATGACAAAGAAGTTTCGACGTGAATGACTGGCTGTGTGAAGTTAACGATGTTCTTGAAATATTGAGAAGAGCTGTTCCTGTGATGTCAGCTTCTTGTTAATAAAGAAGGCTCATCCACTGTAAGAAACAATTTTTCCTCTGTGATGCAGCAGGCAAGTCTTTTGTTGTGGAGCCAACCACACATCTCCCTCGTAAGATTCCCAGTAGGACCAGCTGGGATATTGCCCTCCTAATTTATGGTGTGGCATGTGGCACACTGCTAACACTTGTCCCAACTGCTCTGCTGAGAGGTATCTATCTCGCAGGTTCATGCCAGGTTGGCTTGTAGTTGTTGTTCTTGCCAGATGTTGCTGCATGATGAGATTCAGATGAGCATAAATATGTTCTTCCTATTGCTGGCTGGTACAAAAAGAAATGTTTGGATCTAAGTTGACATTGGTAACGAGTGAATTCTCCAAGTGTTGTTGGCACGGTCCCCCACGCCACCACATTTCGCCGCCGTGTCTCATTTCTGCATGCTTCCATGGGTACTATGGTGCGCAGACGATGAAGACCGCGACCGAAGGATCCACATAGAAATCAAGCCGCTGAGCAACGGGGCGCCAATGAGTGCAAGCGTTGACGAACTGCGTGCCACTATTGGCTCGTTATCACTGTCACCGATTCCCCAGCACTCTGTGAGTCTGCCAGTTTCTCTGTTTTTGTGTGCTTTATTTCTGTTTTGTCACTGTCATGACGTGTAGTAGCTGTTGCGTTGTATGCCTTCTTACACGTTTTCATGCTTGCTATATTGTTGGCAGACTTTAGCTACGGATGTCAAGGTTCATTAGTTTCTTGTCTCTATGGCCACAATTCAGGGGAGATCGAATTCGTAAATGCTCATGCTTAGACATGTGTGTGCATGTTAAGGAATCCTTGGCTATAAAAATTAAGATTTATTATGAAGCATTCCACTACAGTATCTGTTATATCTCTTGTATTTTGATGACAATCAATCAATCAATCAATCAATGTTGCATTTTTTGCAAAGGTGTTCGGCTGAGTGCATATTACTCCACTGATGTATTCAATTTGAAATAAAAATATATAGAAGTGTGAACACTGCCAAAAGCTTCTTTTATTGAACCTATAGTAGCTTTTAAAGTGATGGAAAAAAAAAACATTTTTTTTTCATAGAGACGTAGTTGTTGCAGAGGTATTGCGAATATCAGAATTAGTCCATGTGACTCTGTGCGCTTCGCTACAGTCTACCCGTTGGGATCCACCTTGTATATAGATTATGTGATGCTTTTATTACTGCACAGATGGGTAAAAAAAAGCTCTGTGCCAGCTACGTTATACATGCTAGCTAACCCACTGAGCCACCGTTTCAATAGGTTAAATTTCCTTTTTGAATTAACTTCAGAAATTTAATGATGAGGTCAGTTGGTTAGCTTTGTCACCATTATGAAGAGATGAAAGTCCAAAAACGGTTTTCTTTTTTTTTTCTTCAAAAATTCCGTACTTTTTGGTTTTATTTGCTTTCACAAGTTTAGTTTCTCTACTTGCATGACAAAAATACTGAACATTGTTATTAAACTCGAAGTTGGTTAAAATAGCTTTTAAAGAGCACAAGCTGGCTACTAAAAACTAGGAAGAGCTCATGGTCTGGAGTCCCCCTGCAAATTGTCACCTGGCTGCTTGCCATGAGGAGTTGATTAAAGCCACATACTCAAAATAACCTTGATTTCCAATCTTTCACGATGGAAGAAATAATCTTAAATAGTATATCTTCTTTGCATAGATGAGCTTTCACTTATACCTTTAAAATACGTTTTTCTCTCGGTTCATTTTTGGGCAACTTCATGAGCTTGGACATCACGATTTGGTACTCCTGGAAAATGATCGGGATGAAATTTTTCCCACATATACCTTAACATGTGAAGGGTGCAAGTATGTCCTTTAAAGCTCGATACCGCCCGTACAATTATTATGAACCTAAAGTAAGCAATTTGTAGAGGCTGAGGATTCTAAGAATTCTCACATTACAATTTGTCTTGACCATCAAAATGTTTTATATGCACTTTCTTGATAGTTATTTGCATTCTACAGTTAATATAGAGCAGTATGAGCCATTAATGGCTCAGAACTATAAAATATTAGTGACATAAAATGTTCGTCTGAAAGGAACTATACTCTACACATTGTCATGGCACAAAAGGAAAACTGTGGAATTTACTATAAAACTAAATAAAATAGTTGAAATCGGTACAAAGGCTTATATTTACAGCAAAATTTTCATTGCTGTAGGCTGTAGATTAACACTTTTCTTATTTTTCCAAGGGGAGCCGTAAGATAGCACTCTACAGGTGAATTGTAGCTCAATTTTGCACATGGTTGCGCAGTATATCTGGTCACATTTATTTTGTTAAGATCGATTGATGCAAACGTAATTGCCGTTGAATTTCACTGGTGAACGTAACTTCAGTGAGCCACAGCCATAGTTTGGCTTTGACTGCAGTCGGTGCGGCAGTGTGTCAAGTTTATTAATTTGGCTAGTCAGCAGACTTGTTGACCAGCCACTCGTGAAGTGAAACCTAGTTGCGCTTGGCCACTTACTGGCGCATCGAAGGGGATGAATGTGGATAATGTTCTTTAATGAAACTTTCAGTTGTCGGTTATGCGTTCTTTTTGTGGCCTTCCCAGTCTCGCCTGGCATTGATTTCATGCTCATTTCTTTCTTACCGACTCGCCCAATGGTCCGTTCTTTTTAAGTCAGTGATGTGTGTCGCACACTTGTTTGGAGTGTATGTCTTTTTTCCTGTGCCTTTTGTGCGTCTCTTGTGCACTTTTTTCTTATTTTCCCCTTCCCCCTTCTTTCTTTGGCACGGGGCACCGCACTGCAGAGTCGGAGGCCAGAAACGCTGTACATCAGGCACAAGGTAGCTCGTAGTATATTCCAGTTGCACGCAGCCGGGAATGAGTGTGCTGTGCCCATGTGTTGCCTGAAACTGCTGCTTGAGTAGTCGCCGACCTTTTTTCCTCGTTTGTAAAACTAACGCTTCTCTGGGACAATGTGGGTCAGCTTGGTAAAGTCACTTTAGCATGGTCAGGGAAAGTCACCATAGCATTCTGAGAGCATTCACTGTAAAGCCAGCTTTTCAAAATGCCAATTTGCCCTCTCGATAGTAGCTTAGTTGATTTGGATTTAGTGTGTTTTATGAAACTAAATTTCACACAAGATGTGTTACCACAACGATGGCAGTGTAGTCAGTCGTGCACTCTATGCGTATGTGTAAACTTTGTGCATTATGTCAGATGAAAAAAATGTGGACGTGGTACATTAGCGAAGCACCAGCATTGCACTGTGTACAGTGCAGAGAAAGATGAATGTCCGTGTATTTGCAAATTGGGAGAAGAGTCTGTTTTTTGAAAAATGCTTTCTTTCTTTATTTATTTTTTGGCTACCTCTGTTCACCTAAAGCATTGCTTACACTCTGTAATTAATCTTTTTGTGTTACGAGCTATGTGTGGCCAATGCATCACATTGACAGACATGACTACTGCTAAGTTATTAGAGGTAATGTTGTCTTAACCCTTTTAGTGCCTGGTTCTAATGAAAATTGAGCACCATTTTTTTTTCTTATAGTTGATATAAAAGTAATGACTGTGACTAATTCTTGCTTATATGCAAAAAAGAAAGTGACTTGGATGATCACAAATGCCCTCCTAATACAACAGAGAAAACAGTAGTTGAAAGGGATGCAAGATATCTTGGCATCATTCTAGATAACGCACATTGATGAAGTGCACTCCTTCATTGTTTAAAGGGGGCGTGCCGTAGTAAAGACAGCAACAGACAGAGAAAAGGAAAGCCTCCATCATACATATGAGAGATGGCAACAACCTTAAAAAATCGTAGCCTTGTGCTAAGCTTGTTTTTTATTAATTATTTTTTTATGGCGATATATCACTGTGCCTAGCAGTACATAGACCATAGACTACCCGTTCCACCTGTTGGCCTGTTCTGATAGAGGTGTTTCGTGGCCACTAAACAAGGCGGGGGGGGGGGGGGTTATCAGAGAGAGAACAGGGGTAGTTAATATCCTAGTAGATACTAAAAGTAAAGAAAATGGATCCGGACAGGCCACGTCATCAAAGGATGGGCAACAGATGGTCAGTTGGAACATAGGAACAGATACCATGAGATGGGAAGCATGCAGGGTGATGGCCAAGGAGTAAGTGGGACGACGAAATTAATAAGTTTGGCAGTATAAAATGCAATCGGCTCATGCAGGAAATGGTGAGTTGGAGTCCATTCATAGGGGCCTACATCCTGGAGCGGACATAAAATGATGATGATGGTGCAAATGAACAAATTGAGGGAGAGGAAACAATAAACTTCCAAGAAAGATGCAATAGAGGGTGAAACCACCTCGGAGCTCACGAACTTTATGCTACCGAGCACAAATTTCTGGACAGATGTATCACTTGTGTGCTCGGGAGTATGGGTGTTGGCTGCGGGATAGAAACACATTGAATGTTCGTCATTTAACTGAAAGGGTTAACACAAGTGTGTCTGAGTTAACTTGCCAAACTTGTGATTGAGTGCTTTGGCCTTATGTACGTTTACATATTATTAGCTATGTGAGGTATGTCGAGGGCATGTGCATGAATCTGTGTGTACGCCGTATTTGTGTGTATCTACAAATGTACTTATGTTTGAGCCTCTCCTCCTGTATGCCGAAAAAGGAGAGTTGTGTTGTACCTTGAGATGAGCACCGCATGAATGAACTTTTACTGTTAAGTGTTTATTTATGCTTTAGGTGATGCAGACTTACGTAACCTTTTTCGGGGTCATTGCCTTTTTGATTCCCAGGAATAGTGTACAGTACTCGCGTATTGGAACGCCACAATTTAGGGCGTAGCAATGCACGGGCTTTCGTTTCCAGCATCTTCAGTTTGTCACGGGGGCGTAATTCAGGCATGAACGCTTATATCAGAGCCAATGTAACCTTTAGGGGTCAGATTCATAGGGACATCACGTGGTTTTTCACGAGCTGGGTGATATTGTAGTGTTCGTTCTTTTGCTCTCTTTTCTCTAGAAGTAGTTGCCGCAAGCGAACATTGCATGCTTGCCGTGGTTTCTGCTTGGTTACGCGCCTTACGCTGGCTGTGCATTCATCGCAGGCACGGAGAGCGTACAACAGCGCCTCGTCTACGCCAGACGAAGCACCCAAGAGGCCAGCAAACCAAAGTTCAAAGTGAGCTTACTTTTCGTGCATTTCGAAGCTGCTGCCTTCTTCTTTAGGTTGCTCTTTTAACGTCGAAGCCGTTGAAACTTTTTGTTCGGCCGTTTTGCGACCAGGAAACTAAACCATGCCTGGCGCATGTAATTCAATTACTTTGCTGGCATGTGCTCCCTTCGTCCCCTTATTCGTTTTAGGATTAGCTAATAGCCAATCCTAAAACATTCTATTAGATAGCCGCTACAAGTAAAGACAGTTTTCTCTTGGCTACATTGGAGGAAGGAAAGAAGAAGGTAGAGGATGAAGTTGGTATGCGGAGCTGAATTGGGTATGGTACCAAGGAGCTCCTAGCGTGGCATAGCCGCAGATAGTGTAGTATAGCAAGGGGTGGGAAAGAGGAGCGATAGTGATGTGAGGGTTGGTTGGGAGGAAAGGAGGAGAGGGCGATATAGAAGAGATAAGGAAAGAGCGAAAGAAGGAAACATGAAAAAAAAAGGAAGAGAAGGAAGATCTGAACCTGTTGGCGCTCCCTGGCCCCACTGTTTTCTGAGATTGCACTGGCGTACAACTGGCTTTGATCTTTTTAATTTTTCAGTTAATTACTTGTTCCCAACTCGAGGCAAGCTCTCAAATAGTGACCGTGATAAACGAGGGAGCAATAGCGCAACCCTGTAACGACGTGCTCGTAGCAGACAAAACCTTAATTTGCGCAAGAGAGGGATGTGGTACATTGCCATACCACTTAGTCTTCACCCTTTTCTGATACCATGCATTTCAAGTAAATCTCAGGTGCATTTTTATCACTGGGACTTGTTATCCTGGATTACCATCATGGTTGGCTTGAAGAAATGTCACGGAAAAATCTGGTTTATGTTCCTCGCTTGCTTCAGCTTATAGGAATGGTGGAAAGAAAAAGTACTTGCACGAATTGTTTTGACAGATAGTGACCGTCAACTTCTCTTGATAAGCCTCTTTAAACTGCACCTTTTGTTCAGTAAAATTGTAATCACATTGGAAAATCTAGAAACATTTTTTTGGTCTCTTTAAGTAGTTTTGTTATATGAGAAATCATGTATGAATTATAATTTATTATGACTTTTTCTTAATTTTGTATAAGCCTTTCTTGCAGTTTGTAATACTCTGAGATATGAAGAAGTGCAGCACATTCAAATGAACATAGGCACGTTTGCCGGCTGTTCTCAAGCCATCAGGGAGCATTTTGAACATGTAGCGGTAAAAAAAAATAATTTCAATAAAAAAAATATGTTTGTCACTAAGCATGAGCCCTGGTCTCCCATCAAGTGGTCTTAACTTTTTTTTTTTTGCTATAGACGCCAATACGCTTCTGAAAAGTCGCGTATTTTAGCCAAAAGTCGCTAAATGACGACGATGATGGTAATTTTTTTTAGCATTTAGTTCTTGACTTGATAACGCATGTGAATAGATTATATTTTATTTAAACAATATTGTAAATCAATTTCTGCTGTGGCAAATGAAGTTGAACTGCGCTTCTACCTCCTAGCTATGCCACTGTTAACCAGTGAATAGTTGTAGTCCACCTGATTGCGGTGAACCATTAGCCATTCGGAGCTGCTTTGCCCATCTCTAACTGAAACAGACGAAGTGCTCGGAACAGCCACATTGCACACTAAAGATCGCAGCACCATAAGAAACTTGATCTTGTATGCTTTGGCCTCATTCATTGAAGCTCGTTGCAAGCATTCCACTGTTCCTACAGTTTCCTAATTTTCTATGTCTGTTTTAAAACACTGTACCTAAAATTTGGAAGTCCCCCAAAAATGTCACCAAGATTCCCAAGAGATAGAATTGTTGCTAGCATGACTGAAAAGACACTAAATTAAGCGACTTTCTAGCTAAGTTAACACCACTGGCTCCCATGACAGGAATGCCAGACATTAATTGTTCTTCTTCACAGGGACAGCGGCGGCATAGGCAGTGGCACAGAAGCCGACATGCTTGGCTTGTTTCCACTGGACGCGAGTGCATCAACGCCAACCACGAGACTTCAAAGTCCACTGGGCCAGGGTGAGCCCGCATCACAGCCTTCCGCGTCAAGCAGCGTGCCCTCCTGGGACCGATATGCAGGTGAGCACAACTAACGCTTATTGAGCACTTGCACAAGCAGCAAATGCTGTTGTAATTGAACACACGGCCTGTGAGTGTGTCCTGTCCTTTCGAAGCACAGATTATTATCGTCTGTCGATAAATACATGAAGCTGATGTGATTTGATGTCAGTGCTTTGGGAACCAAATAAAAAGCAAGTGGAAGTAATGTGTTATTCTTTCATATTGGTTAATTGCATTTTTAATGTAAATGATCCCTAACGCCGTGCAGTAAGCTATGTTATATTGCTTGATAAAACGAGCTTGATGGCCCACTGAAATTATATGCTGTATCTGTCTGCTGGGGCCAAGTATTTTTAAAATGTTTACTAAAAAAAAAAAAAAAAACTAAATTCCTTTCGAAGCACCCGTCCCAACGTCTCATTGAACTTGGTGATGCCTTTATAAAAGTGATTGTGCGTAACAAAACCTTTCACTCAGAAGTTATATAAGAGAGTTTCGGGGTGATTCATCATTAGATCACTGTTCGATGTCTCTTCTTTTCCAGTAGTATACTGAAGTGGGGAAAGGAAGTTCTGTTGGCAAATAAGCATGACGTGTCACCAGGGGTTATTGTTGTACAGTGCAGTCCACTTATAACGATACCACATATAACGATATATCGGTTATAACGATGGGTCGACTTAACAGTCTCATTTTATGCATTGGGGCTATGGGGAAAAAACCATATATAACGATATGTTATCCACCGCATATCGGATACAACGATGAAAAGTTTGCCGTGGACGGCATGTTTCATTCAGAATAATCGTAACATTTAGATTGATAAGTTCCTCTGAAATGAACTATGTTGAGACAAGACGAAAAGTTAGCGTAGGCGAGTACCTGCCGCCACTGCAGCACAGCGCCGGCAGCGCGTCCCGGCCGTTCAAAAAGCCGAGGAGAGCGTCGCGAGTTGGCGCGACGCGCTACAGATGGCGCCAGCTGTGTCACGTTTTGCGCCTCGCCGCGCGTCGATCGCGGAGAGGCTGAGAGAATTAAAAAAAAAAAAAAAAATTGCGAAAAGCAAAGCGCCGCGCTCCGCGGCTCCCCGCTTTCTACAACGGCAAGCCGGCAAGTAGCTTGCCGAACGAAAGCGGGAAAGAGAGAGAAAATAAAAAAAAAAAAAGCGAAAAGCAAAGCGGCGCGGCGGCATCGGGGCGGGGCCTCGTTGGCATTCCGGCTGTGTACCTCTGGCTGTGCTTTCTTCCTCCCACTGCTCCCACCCCGCCGTCGGTCAGTCTCTCTTCCTCAGCGAACCCGTGATGCGTTCTTCGGAGTAAGAAATAAAGTCTTGTTTTTGACATCCTACTATCTACAATATTTATTAATTGGTGAAAATAGCGAAATGAAGCCTAGAGCTACAAAAGGTACGTCCGGCGACGATTTTTTGGCGGCAGTCCAGATATAACGATCACCGGTTATAACGATCATATTTTTAGGTTTTCTCGATATCGTTATAAGTGGACTGCACTGTACATCAATTACAGCTGCCTGGCACTTGTGTTGTGACTTGCAAAGTGACATAAGGCATCAGGGGTAGGTAAGGGTCATTCATCACGCTGGAGAGCCTCACTTTCTTGTTGCCACGTGGTTTGAAACCATTGTGACCTCCAGCTCAACCCATTTTTCTATGAGAAGTGCTTCAACCGGCACAATGTTTTCCTCTCGACTCTGTTCTCAGCGTTGAGCGACTTGTTCAACGACAAGGCACCGGCAGAGTCGTCAAGTTCAGAGGCAGGCAAAGGGGCGACCACCAGCAGGGGAGGAACACCGACAAGTGCCTTCACAGGGCCTGCGTTACCGAGGCCGCCGTCTAGACGATCGGAGGTTAGCCATTTTTGTCATGCACTGTCAGCACCAAATGAAAGCTGAACGGCGACAAGCCTTCGTGGTAGTGTAGGGCGTGCGTCCAGTTACACTCGAATCTCATTACAACAAAGTTGCATCTTACGTGAGAATAAGTGCTTTTATATTTGAAAATTAGTTTCAAGGGTGTATTCTTAACACTAAATCTATTTCAACACTATTTTTCATTTACTTTGTTATACCTGATATTGTGTTATATCCGGATTTGTTATATCGAGGTTTGAGTGTATCACCTTTGACAGGTGTGTGCATCCTGTTTGGCAGCTCTGCGCATACATGTGTGCCTGTTCATAGTGATAAGTGGATGACACGCACTGTACCATGGCAAAGACTTGCCACTCTTCAGGTTTCAAATGACGCTGATAGTACGAACTGCATTCATTTCATGAAATTGATTTCTTTCATACATGCATGACCTTGGTTGAAGACTGAAAGCAGATTAAAGGGACATCAAAAGGAAACAGTGAATTGGTTTAATTTGATAATTGTATTGTGGGTACTCTGATGTTGTTGATTTCACCAGCGTAGGTTTAATAAAGAAGAAAAATCAGTGTCAATGTTTCATTTTTTAATTTCACACTTAAATTCCCGTGTATGACATCACAAATTTAAAAGAGTATTTTTCATATTTTAGCACGTTGATTCACCTAAGCCTCATTCTTTCGACTCTGTGTGACCTGCACCCACTTTGTTGCAAAAAAAAGTCCAGCCAAATTTCCAGTGGTCATGCTTCCCCCCCCTTGTCCCTTTTAGGTTGAGCAGTTCAAATCAGCTCATGATGGTTCACAACGAGCCATTCTTCTCTTCGTAAGGATAGACAAAACGCAACAATAAGCTAAGCAAAGGTGTTTCTAATTCGCAAGCAAATCCACGCACTATCCATCATTCCCATGGTGGCTAAACCGTGCCAGTGCCACAGATTCCTCAAGTAAATATTGTAGGAAACATCATGCCTTGTTTTCATAAACATTTGTGACTGACCGTACTTGGCTCCGCCTTGCTTGTGTGGATGCGAACAGGCTGTGCGGGGTCGGGCGTCACCGCTGCCCATGAGTCGGACCGAGAGCGTGGGAAGCCTGAGCAGCGACTTCAAGACAACACCTATGCCACTTGGTTCGTCGCGGGGTCCCTCCCCGCTCACCATTGGCCTGAGCGACTCCATACCGCTGGCTGTCGCCTTCCAGGAAGTGGTGCACGCTCGCTTCCGAGGAACTGACGAGACACTCTGTCAGGTACTGATTGGTTTGCTTTAACAGTTCATTGTATGCTATATAGGTGCAGGTACCAATTAAAATTCGGTGCAGATTACAATTTGCAGTTCGTGCATACTGAATTTCACCGCTAGAGGTATTGTGAAGCTTAAGTTCACAAAGTGTTTCTTTTTTTATGCTGATTCAGTAACCGCTTTGTAACCCCAGTTGACCTTTAGTTCAATGCACGAGAAACGGAATTTGTAGTCTTATGATTGGTCACCCTTTTTAAGGAAAGAATGTTAGTACAGTCCAACTCCGCTATAACGAACGCTGCTTCAACGAAATTTCCGCTACAACGAAAAATCCACGATTCCCCTTCAGCAGTTTGTAAAAGTCAATGCATAAATATTGTCGCCACAACGAACACTTTTTCTTCAATCTTCCCACTTCAACGAAATTTTATGATGCAATTCCAGGCTGAGATACTTATTGCTTTGCAGTAAACCTAATCTTTAACATTTCGATGCATTTTTAGAGCCTGAAAATGTGTCAAGTCTAAAATACGCGCCGGCACTACCAGAAACCGCCCCTATAGACCCGCTGTTCAACAAGCATGGGCGCCGCCATTGCTCAATAGGGATGGCAATGAGTCTGCCCTGCTTTTGCTACTGGCTTATTTCGAGCTGCCGACGATACGAAGCTGAAGCTCAGTTTCTCAGTTCATGGTTTTCTTCACGCAGCTGCTGGGTGCAACCGCGGAACGATTCCTTTTTCGATTCCGATGTTTATCAGTATGTTCGCGCTTAGCCAGTGTGGTAACTAATCAGAGCGGCTGGTCGTCAGCATTATCAACAAAATCAGATAGCCGCGAGTGATGGATGATAAGAACGGCATAGAATAATGCAAAACTTGCCGCTCCACGATACCCTGTCTTCATCTCAGTGTTTTCGCATACTATTGACGGCGGACAGCTGCTGTTGTTAACGTGTTAATACAAGTGTTTGGTTCGTTCACGAAGGCACTTTTAGACGTGTTTTAGCATGCTTTTCACGATGGCCTCGTTATACATGGGTGAGAATGACGTTGTGACGCTGCTGGGAAAGAATAGGAAGCAGCGGACATTTTTTGAATTTTAAGAATAAATGTTCCTCCGTTTTGCTAGCTCCGAGCAGCTATATTTCTTTTAGATTTCACTTAAACGAAATTTTTTTTCGTGTCGCATCAGTTTCGTTGTAGCGCGGTTCAACTGTAAAATCTGAATTCTGCATCAATTTATACATCATTTCATACACCCAATCACGTGAAACTGAGCAAATTTTCTGTTTGCAGGTGAAGCTTCTGGGTGACATGAAGGTGTCCTTCCCGGCAGGCATTGTGCATGTGCTGACAAACAACCCATCACCAGCAGCACTAACATTCAGGGTCAACACTGCCCGCTTTGACAATGTTCTACCCAACAAGAACCTCGTTACATTGTAAGTTGCGGTTTTTCGGGGAACTCGAGCTGCATTGACATCTGCGAGATGATGCATTTTACTTAATATAGTTGAAGCTGAAATAACTAAATATTCATCGGTTCAAATGAGGCTTTTCAGTTATATTTGAAACATTTTTAAGGGGTTTCTCAGGAGAGAGTAATGCTATCTTAGTAGTAGAAAAAAAAACAATAAAAAAAAGATGCCAATGAGAGGACAGTTGTTTGCAGCTGAACTTGATTAACATAATTACAGTATAGACCGCTTATACTGTAAGTCGCAGGAGTCACGGATATTCGCACTTTAAGCGGTATCGCACTATAACCAAAACAACATTTTTCAAGGGCCGCACTTGTGCAAAACCTGTCGAGCACACAGCTACGCGTCTCTTAGAATCGAAGCATGTAATGCGGGGTGCTTACAAAGAATTAAATTTCTGAATGCTAAAAAAATTTGACGTCTAAAGACACGCGTTGCCAACGAAATCAATGTAAAAATAGGGGGTGGGGTCTTTCGCCGACTACTCTGCAGACCGCCTCGGTTATGCCCATTACACAAAAACTACCTTAAATCACGCCCAAAATTTCACGTGCTGAAAGATATCAATCGTTCTATTTCATGGACGCGCACCCGATTTAAAGACTTGCTATCGAATTGTGAGCCACCATTCGAGCGCTACAAGTGCCACCCTCGTTTTCAATAATAATATGAATTTCTTCCCGTCGACCGCAGTGACCGTGAGGAGTTTTGTTGATTTCATACCAAAGTGTAACTTAGCACACGACCACTGCTGCAATGCAACTAACGTCGATGAGGCCTAGTTTGAGGTTCGAAGTTGTCGCGGTAAATTTGTCCAAGACATGAAGATCTGGCATGAAAAAGTTTGCACTCAAGCACTGAACCAAAATCACCACGGGTAATATGAAGTTTGCGTTTGCAGCCGGAAGATCAACAATGACGAAAACCCGCCAAACATCCGTAATACAGTGCATTGGCAGCAAAAGCGAAAGCTCACGTGATAAAACTGCAAAGGGTTTTCAATTTACGCACGAAGTATCAAAAGCAATATGTGTAGCAAGCTAGATAATGTCAACGCTTTTCCCCGAAGGCAAACTGTTAAGCGCAGTTGATAAGGACGGCATTGCGCATGTCATGTTGGGCCGCGCGTGGCCGCAGCCACGCTAGCGACACTCGTACGCAGTAGCCGCATCGGCGCCGGTGCTACTGCCCTCCTCCCTTATTTGGTAAGCCCGCAGAGCGTGCCGCTGTCTTTCTTTTTTTTCGTTTTCCTTCCCTCTGTCCTTCGTTCGTTCACTCCATGTACCCTCCGTCGCTCACTCCTCAGTTCGCACCCAGCGCGCCTCTCTTCAGACGCGTTCTCACCACCGCAATTGTCACAAAGATTTTCCGGCAACCGCGTTATAATCTTGGGGTACTGCACAATAAGCGATATGCTTATACATGACGTTTTATGGGAGGACGAATGGGAGTTGGAAAAGGCCGCATTGTAACCGGTTCTGCACTATAAGCGGTTGTAAGTGGTCTACACTGTGTAAGAATGAAGGGCGGGCCTCTGAAATGCATCAGCTAGAGTGAGTTGGGCACTTCAATTCATGTCTGGTAAGCCGACGACAGTCGAAGCAAAACTGCGATTCGGCCTTGTTGGAACATTGTCATCTTCAAGTTTTTGCGCAAGCACACATGTACAATGGTGAGAAACACAAATGTGTGCGAATAGCATTAGTTAATGTTTGTGTTTGGGCAATGTTGCGCACATTTTTTTTCTCAAATTTGTCCCTTTGTGCTTGTGCAAAAACTCTAAAATGACAGTCATGGCATGGGCGACTTGAACTTTGTTGGATGTAGTATACTTGTGAAAGTGTTTCTTCAAGTTGTTTGGGAATTTGGGGTTTAGGGTATTGCAATTGAAGAGTTCGTGGTATATAGGTGCTTTGATGCGCACTTGTTGATATGAGTACATTTTTGAGCCAGTGTCGGAGCTTGCCAGTTCACTTGCTTCATCTCGGCATTGCGCAGAGATGCGAGTCAGTCGACGAGTGACCGGTGCGTGTACGAGTTCAACATGTCGGTGCTGACGGGCCTTCTGCGGCGGCAGCATGAGCAGACGCCCTCGGCGTCCTACTTTAACATCGACATCCTCAAGTACCATGTACGGGCCGGGCCTGGTGCCCGGTCAGCGCCCCTGCATCTGGTTGCCTTCTGGAAGACGCAGGAGGACAACACTGACCTCAAGGTGAGTTCATGACGGAGTTTGAGTCGGTGTCGATGCACCCATGCTAGTCTGTAGGGCGCAGAAGCTGCAGCAGTGTTTAGGATGGAGGTTAGGAAAAATACGGAATGAACACCTGCAGTCAGTTGATCAATCAGTACATCGACAAATTAATCAGTAAATTAATAAATTGATTAATATATCTATTAATTTGTCATCGAAGTCACAGAACAAGCTTTTTTTCACAGCATAATCAAATCAGAGTCATTGTTTGATTTCCGTGACAGCAGCAGCCATGGAAAAGTAAACTGCTGAATAGACATAGAAATATTTGCAGGCATTTAACTGCAACTATAGAGAACTCCGATAGTGTGACAAAGTTTAGTGTAAATGTCATGATAGCTGGATTGGGTGCAGATTGAATGAAGATGACGATGCATTTTAGTTCTAATCACTTCTTACTTCTGCCATATGACTTGACTTCCGGATTCTGCATTCAGCTTTCATTATGCCACTTGCTCATGTACTTTTAGGGCATGCACTGTTTCTTATAGTTAAAGCACTTTTATTCTCTACTTGAACCTACCTCTGGTCTACACTTCACTTCTGGCCTAGCTATAGTAGGCCTCTGCTGGAAAATGTGCGGAATTGGGTCAGATATTATGGTGGACAACATCGGGGTACAGATGTTTTAGAGATGTAAAGAGAAGGTGAAACTTTAAACGCAGTTTTCTCAGTTCTGTTTTTTTTTCTTTTTTTGGCATTAGGCTCAGCTCGTGGAGCAGATGTTTTGGCAACCACTTCACAGATTTTGATTGTTTTGTAACGCTCCTTGAACTGTGCGTCAGGGGAGGACTGCGATCTTAGTTTTTCATTTTACTCCCTAAAGAATTTTTCGTAGGGCTTCTTGTTTGTAGCGCGATTGTGCTCATTGGAATGTCGCTGGAGAAAACATCAACTATACGAGTTTTAGCATTGCAAAAAAATTATTTTGAAGAAGCAGCCCCCTTCAGCATACATTTGGCCATGTGTACAGTAATTACCAACTAAATATTTCTATCATTTCTTAAATCCTTAGGCCCCTCCATAAGGTTCAATGAAGAAATAATTTGTCCTTTGTTAAGTTTTTGTGGTATCGCCTCAAAATTTTTATGGAAGCACTGCGAGGTATTCTTAGTGTCTGTGCAATTTTTATCAATATCCAACCAGAAACAAGAAAGTTCGTTTCCAAAGGCACGTGTCCCCCCTTAAGCGGGATTCCCACGAGGGAAAAATCCCCGGAGGAGAGGCGAGGATGGCGCATCACGTGACAACAACGTCACGGGGTAGTGTGTCGACGCGTCCTCCTCGCGGCCCTTCTGGGGAGACGGCGATCGTTTTTCCGACCGGTAAAACGATCTACGTGCAGCGGGGGATGTAGTGGAATTTCGGGTGGGTCTCTGGCCACATTGTAGCCTTCTCTCCTGCAGTGCATGCAGAACCTGGCGGCGACGGCTGTTCCAAATTACACTCCGGACTTGCGTGCACCGTGATGGCGAAAATTAATGATGAAGCAACTTTTTTTCTTTTTCCTCGCGGAAGAATATCATCGCTTGTGGGACATCTCTTCCAATGACTATAGTAAAACTACTAAAAAATGGTGCGTGGGAGACGATGGTCAAACAGATGATGGAGCACTACCATCTCTATGAAGTGATATTTTGTTTTGCTTTAAAGTGGTTATTGTCATTAGAATTGTGACATCGCTCGCTTTTGTTGTTACTCCTGCTTCTACTGATCTGCTTGTTCAGCCTGGTAAAGATGTCTTACTTCATAATGAAATTTTTTTAACAGGCCTTATTATTCAAGATTACAAGCTTAAAATATAGGCAGCCGTAGAAGCCGAGAGCTGCTTTTTATTTTCAGAAACATGACATACTTGACATTTTACTTTATCGGCTGCGTTGATACAGCAGAATCTTAGGCTGAGTTCTCATAGTGAAGACAGAAGTGGTCTTCTATTACCTTGTGTTTTGAAATTAGAATGAAACGCTTGTACAGATAATTGTCAAATATTAATAGGCTAGATCCCTTACGTTCTCAATTCTCATGAGAGAAATGCTATGATAGCATAATTGCTTCACTCACAGAAAGCCAACAAATATCGAAAGATACTGAAATTCCTATCTACCGACTCAATAGTAGTATTTGACGAGTCAGAGAGACTGTGAGCGATTTCGTAGTAGAAAAAAAAAGAAAGAAAAGCCTTTGTCAATGAAGCTGCCCAAAATGTCGCTTTGGGCGAGTTCGTTTTTGTAAAAAAGAAAAGCTTGCGGTGGTGAGTCACACCAACAGCAACGCCGCGCCTGCATTCCGCACAAAAAAAGACTTATAAACAAGAAAGTTTCTAAAAGCAGCAAAGCGGCACGGGGGAGGGGTGCAAAATGGGCACTTCTCTTAAACCACAGCAGCACTTTCTTCACCCAAGAAACACCAGCGCTTTCCTCCTTCTCCAATTAAGACTTTGAACACCCCCCCCCCCCCCCCCCTCCAAGACGAGAACTTGCCGATATCTATGGCTGGGGTCAAAGAATTCTTCAGTGCTCCCGCTCTATCATATGGTGGAGGCTCTGGTTACGCTGATCTCCACCGCAGTTTGCCTCGTCCGTGTGAGCGAGGGACATTTGGGGGGACTTGTCCTCGCCTGTTGACGTCACTAGGCTCTGTCTTTATTCCCCATGTATTTCTCCCTCGTGTGAATCCCGCTTTAAGAAAGTGATTGGTAGAGTTTCTCCTCGGGGTTCTCCTGGTTCGCTGTGTTGGTGAGCTGATGTTCTCCCTTCTGTTTCAGATCGACTACGAGTACAATGCCAAGGCCCTGAGCCTGCCGGCGGGCACAGGAGCAACCGGGTTGAGCCAGCCTGCATCGGCGAACCCGGCCCCGTCGGCACCGGGGCTTCCACCGCTGACGGGACTGTGTCTGGGCGTGCCCATGGACGGCGGCGTAACAAGTGTGCAGGTCTGTATGCCAAGCTACAGGAAGACCACAGAGCGAACAGTGAGGGGACCTTCGTTCAGTGTGCCTACATAAATGGTCTAACATGAAGTATCTTCATTTTGATAAATGCAAGAAATGAACCATAAGCATGTGCACTCAAGCCTCATATAACAAAGTTGCATCTCACTGGAAAAAGTTTGTTGTATCCGAAAACTTGTTATAGAGTTGTATTTTTAGCACTATGTCTATTGCAAGAGTACTCTTTATTTACTTCGTTATACAGTAAAACACGGTTATATCGAACCCACATAGAGCAAATTTTTGAGTATATCGAACTCGTAAGTTATCCCCATGAAATTCTTTTGTAAAAGTATAGAAATTCGCACATTCATATCGAACAATATTTTTACCCACCTTTGGATATATCGAACACCGGGTGAGGAGGAAAGTGCACTTCAGCACTTGTTCCTCCTCGGGATCTTCGCGGCAGCGAGATGGAAGGCACGCTATGGCACTCGCAGCGCCCGGCGATCTCTGCGCGACTTCACGCCTCTGCCAAAACCCAAAACTCTCGAAAAAAGGTAAGGGCGAGAGGGCTCGGACTGCACAATCTCTAACTTGTGGAACATATTTTTTTTCTTTTTTCGTTCTTCTTCCCCTCTCTCCTGCTTTCTTTGCGCACCCGTCGACTTGGAGAGCAGACACGAAGGTGCCGCCGCCCTCCTCCTTTTCCATTTTTTAAAATTTTTTTGTTGCAGTTTTGCGAGTTTTGATCAGCCAACCAAAGCTCACGCCTTTTGCTGTTGCCCTCGCAGGTGTCCATCGCCTTGTGAGCGCTTTGTTGCTTCCGCTGACGCGTCGCCCACGTACCACCGCATGTGCAGCACTTCTCTTTTGAGTGCGTGGTGTCCATAGCCACTGCGGACTCCTTGTAGCCGCTGCGGACTCCTTAGCTTCTTTTGTAGCTATGGCCAGTGTCGATAAGCGCAAGGCTCTTGACTTTGCGACAAAGTTCAAGGCTATTCAGTGTGCTTAGGCGGGCGAGAAATGTTCGACCGTTGCGGACGGCTTCGGGATGCCACGGAGCACTCTGAGTACCTTTTTGAAAAACAAGGCAAATATCACGGCAAAGGCGGCGGAGCAAAAAATGTTAGAAACCTGTCATGTGCGCGCTTCTGCTCACGGGAATGTAGGAAAGGTACTCTATGCCTGGTTTTTAGAAGCGCGCGCGAAGAACATTCCGGTGGATGGCCCCATGCTGACCGTCAAGGCCAAATGGTTTGCTGCTGCACTCGATGAAACAACTTCGCTGACAACAGTGGGTGGCTTCACCGATTTAAGCAGCACTACAACATCGTTGGCAAAAGCAATTCTGGCGAAAGCAAAGCTATCAGCAGCCAGGTCACCCTGCAGTGGGTTACGAAGGAGTGGCCGGAAATCTCCGCGAAGTTCTCTCCCGCGGAGATCTTCAATGCCTGACGAGACATGAAGACGTACGCAGTGGTCAACTGCTTCTGCAAGGCAGGCTTCGAAATGGCGGAACTCGCAACCGGGTTTACAGCTCCGGACAGTGAGCTGGGCCAGAAGGGTCGCCGAAGCACAGCAGTGTCCGGCCACCTAGAGCAGCCTGAGGGCTCGTCGTCATCCTGATTCCACTTCCCCAACCACACCCCCCCCCTCAAATGATTCCTTCGTGAATCAATAAAGTTGATTACCTACCTACTTGCGGAAACCGGTGAGGGTGACAATGACAAGCACATAGACGACGCATTTCGCGAGTTGTCGTCGCGTTTCCCGGCAGCAATCCTACACAAAGTGTCGGCGTATGACTTCGTGGAAGCAGACTGCAATGTCCAGGCTGACAGCTCATGTGACGAGGAAAATCGTCCGGGCGAGGCGCTGGCTACACGCACGTACTCCGCCGCTGAAGTGACGGCAGCATTCAGCATCATTCGCCGTTGTATCGGCCGCATGAAGGGAAGCGGGCTGTCGCACTGGGACGTGATAAGATCGAAACTAGGATCAACATTTCAAAAATAAAGAAACAGGCTAATATTAGCATTTTTTTTTTTCACGCAAATAAGTCATTCTGTTGCGGTGTGTGTGCAGAATTAGTTATCACTCTTGAATGCGCCTATTGTAAGTGATGATCGGCTACAGGTAAGCTCTTGGGGCCTCTATTTTTTTTACCGTATGTACTCGCATAATCCTCGCACTCGCATAATTCTCACCCCCCCCTACATCGCCCAAGAAAAATACGATTTTTTTTCCTCGTGTAATTATTATCGCACCCCCGAAAACTGCCGCAATAAAGTCGTCTGCTCGTTCCAGCCACTGACGATGATAGCGCACGCCATCTGGCACCATCTCTTAAGCATCAAGCGTACTATTGCACGGAAATTCAAACCAATCCAAGCCAAGCCGAAGTGGCCAGTGCGCGTTGCGGCGTGTTTTGTTTGTTGTGTCGGTAATCTTGGCACGTTATGAGGCGATACTGAAGCTACACGGCTGCTTCAAGTTGCAAGTGATGGATCATGCACTAAACAATAGCAACAGGGCCGTCGGTAGGCCCTTCAGAGCCTACAAGTTTTGTGTTCGCTACTGGTGACAGCAGCTAAAAGCCACCAAGACGCGTTGGGTCTGCCGTGTGCCTAAAACTGAGATTGATGGTAAACTTTATTTCTTCAGAAGGAAACTACGGACGATTCTATTAAATAGCCATCAGCCCAGTACTGACGTCCTAGGCTTACCTTTTGAGGGCTTCTGTTGAGCGACGAACGCTACCGCTACGCCCACAAGCTTTGCGTGCGGTATTCTAATTCTCGACTATTTGCTTCCACTTTTTGTGTCTCAAATAAATCTTGTCTTGTGTTGAACCTCTGCTTTTATTGATGAGGTAAATTCTAATTAGTACTTCCTAAAGCTTGCTGTAAGTTGCTGGTGTGAGAATCCCGATTTGCGGCCACTTGGTTTTCTTTTTCGCTCTCTACGTTTTCGTGGAAACTTTTCCCCACGTAATTCTCACACCCCCCAACTTTGCATCGGTTTTCCGGCAAAAAAAGTGCAAGGATTATGCGAGTAAATACGGTATATTGAATTTTTCATATATCGAACTAATTCAATATATCTAAGTTTGTTATATCGAGGTTTGAGTGTATTACACATTTGACATTTTCAACAAATAAAAAAAGTACTCTACAGTGTAACTTGTGGCATGCTAATGGTGTTGCATGATGATGATGGTGATGTTGCTGATGATGTTGCAAATGCTGATGATGTATTTGAAATGGAGCATTCAGAACACATTTGCTAAAAGCATTCAGAGCACCATACTCTGTCATAACCATATATTTGAGCTAAGTCCATTACTAAATTTTGATGTAATTTAAATTTCATAGCTATTGCACTGAGTAGCTCAGCATCTAGCTTGGGCATGCCTTTTTTTGCGGCTTCAACCATGAGAGGGCTGTACAGCATTCAAAATTGTGTTGAAGCATGGTTGGAACAATCTTGACTAATGCACCATTAGTTCCAAACAGGACCAAACAGTTGTTGATGTTTCATTAAATTTTCTACCAATACTGTGTACAAGACATCGTTAATTTGGAATTTCAGATAATTTCAATTTTTCCTCACTTTAGTATCTGAGAAACTCGTGCACTGTTTATTGGCAACAGTCTCCAAATTTTTTATCTTTTTGAGTTCCAACATAATGAGAATTATAGCCTCCATGTTGAGAGTTTCAAAACTTTTCAGTAAAAAAAGGTAGCTTGGTTTAGTAAGTGCTTGTCTGTTGTTTCGCATCAGATCACTCAACATTTAGATAATTTTGTTGTAGTTTTGGTCCAATGAAATACAAATTGTACATGGTTTTACTGTACCTCAAGCCAATCTGGGTGACAGATGCTCGGTTTTCAACTATGGCCGATTGTCATTGCAGAATTGATGATTGATTGATTTGTGGGGTTTAACGTCCCAAAACCACCATATGATTATGAAAGACGCCGTAGTGGAGGGCTCCGGAAATTTTGGCCACCTGGGGTTCTTTAACGTGCACCTAAATCTGAGTACATGGGCCTACAACATTTCCGCCTCCATCGGAAATGCAGCCGCCACAGCCGGGATGATTGTCATTGGAGAAGTGTGCTCAAACTTCCCACTTAAAGAGCACAAGGGCTTGGTAATCTTGTGGGATTTCTGACCTCAGTTCTGAAGGGAACATTGTGATCTCAAAATAATTAATTTGGTTAACCCATGAACTAGGCCGAAGCAGTGTAAATGCAAACTTCACAAAGAATTGACCAGCTAATGCCGGCTGAAGGGATTCACAAGTTATAGTGTTGCCGCAGCTGCGTGTTGTATTTGGTCCGAGGACCTTTTTCTAGTGAGAGTAGTGTGACGGAAGTCCACAAGGAACAATATCTGTGTGAAGGTCAATATTAACTTAAGCTGACATTCTACTGTTGTGGACGAGGTTTCAGGTTTGATTCCCAGCTGCTATTGCCGCATTCTGATGGAGGCTGAATTTAAAAGCACCCATGTACCACACTTTGCATACACACTGAAGAATTGTAGATTTTAAAAATTTATCCAGACCTCTTAAAACCTCTCCCACAATGTCTCCATAGCTTCTGTGTTCATTTCATATGACAATCAATAAATCGATCCATTCCTCAATCAGTGGGTAAAATCGAGCGAATTGACCCTTAAAGGAAACATCAATTGTGCAATTCACCAAGCAGCTGTCCAGTCACATGATCAGCCAACCGATTAGCTGGTTCGTCAATCGAAGTTGGACTGATCAGTCAGTCAGTTTATGTGCTGATGGCTCATGCGGTCAATTGAGCAAGTCACTGAATCTACCAACAGATGCAACGTACCAATTCAAGTCAACCTACCAACTGATCAGTCAGTAAACCAGTCAGCCAATCAGCTGCTTGTAGGAGGAGTAACGAGGTGCTTCTGGTGGTTCACAGGCCAAGCCTCCGTGCATTTGGAATGGAGAGACCCAGCGAGCCCTGTGGAGGCTTAGCGACCCACTGGGTGGGACGGCGGGCGGTCAGCGGGGCGGGTCCTTACTGGCTCGCTTTGTCCTGACGCGGGGTCCCTCGACACCTCGGCCCCTGGAGGCGCGCTTCCTCTGCGAGGGAGCTACTCTGTCCGGTGCCAGCTTTGAGCTGATTGGCCAGGGCTATCGCGTGTCTCTAGTCAAGAGGCAAATATTGTCGGGTGAGTGGACGCAGAACTGCTTCTTCTACGTTGTGTGTGTGCATATACAGGGTGTTTTTTTTTTTTTAGGCACTGGAGATATTTTACAAAATGTCGTGACAGTTGGACACTTGTCTTCACACAAAAACTTTACATTTAGGCGGAAGTACTCTGCTGCACATGAAGTTGCTACGAAATGACTAATTATCACTCATTAATTAACACTTTAGTTATTAGCTGATATCATTTGCAGTTAAAAATGAAGTGGCTAATTAGAACTTATTAACATTTTAATTATTAGCTGAGAGCAGTTGAAATGGAAGAGTTGTAGGATGTGACAATTTTTCGCATACCGATTTTATTACTGAAGCAAAAGGCATTCGTAATTTTATGTTGTGACGAGCCACGGGACTTCCGTGACCTATCCTGTTGAGCAACCTGCAAATCTTCATTGCTATGTTGTACTTAGAATTAATGTGTAAATAGCAGCCTCAAACTTTGCTGGCTGTCAGAATTAACACAAGCACTTAATTCCATTTCCTGTGGGAACTGTTTCATACTTGCCCATCTCACATGCGCAGGCAAATACCTATGCGAGCCGTGACATTTGCCCGCGACGGCGATGACGGGCCGTCCTCTGCCACCTGTCCCCGCCTCCCCGCCGTCAAGCCCTGACGAACAAGACAGCAGCGCTCTGCAACCAACCATGGTTGAGGTGGCGGCGACGCCCGTGCCGGTCGCTGGTCCGACCGACGAGCTTGTCGCCATACTGCCTCCGCCTTCTTTCGATCCCCCTCCTCCTCCCCCAACTCCGCCTCTCCCACTTCTCCACCGAAGACCTTCTTCCTGCGATGTCCTGCAGCCTCCCATCCCTCAAACCCGAGTCCCCGCCCCTGAAACTCCTCCTCCTCCCATCTCTCAAACCCGATGTCCCGCCCCCGATGCCTCATCCCCGCCCCAGCAGCAGCAACAGCACCAGGCCTCGCCTCCCCCCATATTCGCCCCGGCTCACATCTCGGCCCTCACCGTCACCGTCGTCGCAGCCAGTGTTTTCTGTCTCGCCTTGCAAATTGTGGCACTCTGGCGACGTAGCAGTTAGTAGGTCCTGGCGAAGTAGTCAACCTGCAAAAAGCCGCCACAAGAGGGGAGGGACGAATAACGGCGAAATTCTTGCCCGTTTTCGACGGTTCTTCACGCACGTACTGAGATGAAAAGGAGTTTGATGGAAGCATACGTGCCCGCTCGTAGACAAAGTCGAAGCGAACGCTCTAGCGTCTCTTCGCTCGTAAAAACACTGGCATCGCGCCCATCCTATTTTATGCCACGGCGACTACCTCTGGAAGGTGCCCGTGGTAAACTATGGTTGTGGTAGATGCTTGTTAGATATTGACCTTTATCTTCGACACAGCGCAAGCCGGAACTTGTTTTTTCGCTGAGTGGTGGCAGTAGTGGTAGCGGTAGCAGCAACAGCGTGGATGCGACCAGCTTTCTCTGGCAAGCCACATGGAAAAGTATTTTTCTCCTTTTTCCCCCTTTTTTTTTCTTGCTTCCCCGCCGCTAACGGTGTAATATAGGTAGTACTGCCCAACGGTCGCACTTACGCTGCTGCATTTCTCGCCATGTATTGTGTACATAAAGAGGATATTTTTTAATGACACTCGATGCTTCTTTTTTTTGTTTTGGTTCTTCCTTAAGACTCCCGTGTGCTTTTGCCCATGTTCTGCCTGTCGTCTGCCAGTTGCCATTGCAGATGATGTGCGTTAGCAGACTAATTAATGACTGCAGTGTTACCATTGCCACTGCTGTCACCTCGTCTGTGTCTTCATCCCGCGTGAACTTGTAAATATTGCAGATAAAAAAGAAATCTAACAAACACCGCCTCGAGAACAGCCTGAGCTTGCTGCGTGCTCATCATGACCTTCCCCCTTTTAATTAAAAAAATATTGCGTCGCTTCGTCGGCAATTATGTTGTTTTCTCTAGCCTTTATCTTTTATTTTTTGGAATGAATGCGTTGTTTAAATGTACCATTTGTTGTTGCTTGACATTTGTCTAACCATAAGTATATACATAAATGTATACATTATATATATATATTATATATATACACACCATGTTGTTGATTTGATGGAATGCTTTGCTTTACATGAGCTACAAAAAAGTAAAATCTCCGAAAAACAGCTTGTGGGGGATGCAATAAAATTGCTGCCTTGCAGAGCAACTGCTGCATTGTGCATTTTTTTCAAGGTTTCGGGGAATGTTGTCCGTGGAACCTTTGAGTGTAAAACGAGCACTTAGAGGGGGAAAAAAAACACTTGGTGAGCTACAAGATGTGCTAAAAAATAATCCTGATGGCAACGGAATCTTGAAATTCCTGCACTAATAGGGCCTACACAGTTTCTTTGCAGTAGTGAGAAATTGCATTTTGTTCTGAGCAAACTAGAGATTTAACATAGCCGTGTCTCGGGAAATATTGTTGAGCTTATGTGGCCAAAATGTGAAAAAGTGCTTTCAAATCGGCGACATCGCTATAGAAAATTGGGGCGAGAAATTTAAAAGTGATGCCCTTCACATTGATTCATTCATTTATTTATGAACCAATGATGATGAATTTAATGACTATAGAGTCTTCAGTAGAACTGTGCGAATAGCGAAGTTTTGGGTGCACAGCAAATTTGAATATTGAAGTGTGAGTGCGAATCAAATTTGATATTTTTCGAATATTGCTAAATTATTTGTCAAATAATTTGAAAAGAAATTGCACAAAAAAAAAAGTTGCAGAGGATTCCTAACCATATTTTTACGGCATAGCAACAGTGTTTCTTTGGGCTAAGTTGATGAAGTATAGGTGGGGTGGCGTCTCATAGCTGTCTTACCAAGAATGAGACAATGCAGAAGCCAAATTTTTCTTACGTGCATGATTTGGTGCTATCAAAATGTGTCCGACAACATGTTACATGTGTGAAGAAAAACATGCTATATTTCCTCAGCCTCTCTTTTTTCAACTTCTGTGAAAGCGCAACTGTTGTGGCAGACGAGGGCATGTTTCTTTCACATCCGAAATCCCCAATCTGCCTCATAGATGTCCATATATAGGAACCTCTAAAATTTTGCACGCTAAAAGTCTCTGGTCTCGTTTTTCAGACTTCCTACTAAAGTTTCAGGTCCAATTGATCTTCTACCTCTGCCACATCTATCATATACAATCGAAATTTTTGTCTCAAGTTGATAAATCTGCAAACGTAGAGCTTGAAAGACGGCTTTGTCCCAATACTAGTGATAGAGTGAGGCAAAAAAAAAAAAAAAAATTTGTGAAGGGTATGTACCACTAGCCTTCAGAGAACGAGTCTTCTGTAGAGGAGAGGTAGGGATATTTCTAGGTCGCACTTAATGCACGGAATCTTACTTAATCGCCTTCGTCAAAGCTTCAAGTGGATTGAGCATACAAAGAAGGCTGGTGATACAATGCAGGCGTCACAATGGCATGCTTGTTATATTGTGTGATTGATTGATTGTGTGATTGATAAGTGCGGTTTAAAGTCCCAAAACCACCATATGATTATGAGAGACACCACAGTGGAGGACTCCTGAAATTTAGACCACCTGGGGTTCTTTAACGTGCTCCGAAACCTGAGCACACGAGCCTACAACATTTCCGCCTCCACCAAAAATGGAGCCGCCGCAGCCAGGATTCGATCCCGCGACCTGCGGGTCAGCAGTTGAGTACCTTAGCCACTAGACCACCACAGCAGGTTATATTGTGTGTAACTTGATCTTTTGAAAAAAACTTTCAGCAATGTGCTGCAATCTTTTCGCAATTTGGGGTGTCTGGTTATTTTACACAAGGTGCTGATAGTCTTTTTGACAGCTGGGAATGTTGGTCTGTTAAGATTTACGAGTGAAATTCAGTGGCACAAGAAACATTATTTATGGCTCTGTTAATGCTTCATTAGATGAGATGCTGATCACTCATACTCTCGGAGAACAGGTATACTATACTGTATTATGAAGTGCACATGTTCCCAATGCACATGTGCACTCTTTCTGTCTACATGTTTCAATTATGACCAAGAAAATCTAAAGATATGTGCTGGTGTGAGCTATTGCGGCTTTATTTGCACGTCGCAGAGAGAGAAACCATTTAAGCATCCTGAGCCTAACTGTTGAAAAGGTAACATCAACAAGGTTGATGAGGGAAGCACGCATAATTCTACTGTTATATACATTTCACAATTGTGGTTGGTGATCGACGTGGAAACAAACTGCACAGCTGTCATGATATCGATGCTACTTTTATTCAGCAAATACAGCGCATACCTTGTTAAAAATAATGGTGTTGATTGGGCGAAGGCAACGCAACAAGCACAACAGGGAGATGGAAAAAAAATTGATTGCGGCCTTTTCATCGGGCGGTGGAACAGGCAGTTGAACAAGCAGTGGCGACGATTCAGCTGTGGTTAGTGGAGCCGGATACCATCGTTCGTAGTGGAAAGCGCAGAGCGGTAATGTCTACCAGATGCCGGATGACCGCCCTCCCGGTGGGTTGTGCACGCGTATGGCAGCTCTGGAGCCTTTGTCATCATCAATCTGGGCACCTGCATTACAGAAGAGATCAACATACTGAAGGGTGCACAGATGGGCTGGTTGGTTCATCATTTTATGATGCAGGAGTCGGTACAATAGGACCAGAACTGACAAAGTGTGCAGTGACACGTGCTAATCGTTTTGTCGTGTCATATAGTGCTGTTTTCTACGTATAAAGATGAGCATACAGTCAACAGAGACAACTATACTGCAGTGAAAAGTTGAAAATCATAGCCTCGTCATTTTAAGCAGAAAATTAGCCCACGCGGGCTTCTCCTGCCAAAGTGAGCTAGCTGCACGGTTACGAGAGGTGTGTGGGGATGTGTGCAAGTTGGGGAGGAGGGGGGGGGGGGGGGGTCAAAATTCTTTCCTCGAAAGTTTTTTTTTCAATTTGGCTTGTGTATATATATAAATGCACGTGCAAACGTAAAAAGTAGCTGAACCTCCTCTCCCTAAAAAATTTCTGGCTACGCCCCTGGTGCACGTAGTACGGGGTTGACAAACTGGCAAAAGGATAACATGGTCACACGCAACTGGTAAGAAACAATCCCTGCATAGGTTCAGTTTCTCATCGCCCAATTATGCACGTTACACACAGGTGATTTTGCATTCCAACCTCCATCTGAATGCTGTCACTGCAGCAGAAATGGAACACGAGACCTCGGGGCCTCAGCAGCACCACTCGGCGCAAGAGTAGATAGCATTGTTTAAGAAATAAAGTGGCTGTACATCAAAACGTCCAGAGTAAACAACTTGCACACGATTCAATCGAACGCACCATTTTGCAGAAAAACGAAACCAAAACTAGAGTGTACTATGCTCAGAACGGCCGTAGCACCAATGCATTAAAAGTGAAGCCCAAACAGGGTCAATCCGCTTGTGGTGCTGCGATTGGTAGTCTGCAGTGTGTCGGCATTTCAAGAGCTGTGCGCGGTACTGTCGAAGTGGTCGAGAGGTAAAATGCTCGCTTCCCACTCAAAAAACCCAAGTTCGAATCACAGCTGTGGATTTTAACTTTTTTTAATTTTTAATATTACTTGAACATGTTATTTATTTGCCTTTTTTTTCCAAGTCCAACTTCATTTGCTACAAGTTATTACAAAAAGTCATGCAAAATATAAAGTAAAGAAGAAAAAAATTTGACAGCGAGCATACTGGGGCGATTGGAGAGTCGCTCACTGTCAAATTTCTTCTTTTTTACTTCATATTTCGTGTCAATTTTTGTAACAACTAGTCGCACATGAAGTTGGATTTAGAAAAAAAGCACACCAATACCATGTACAAATAAAGCTAAAAATAAAAAAAAGCTTACAATCCACAGTGGCCACACCAAGCTGGGTCGTTTGAGTGGGAAGCGAGCATTCTACCTCTCGACCACTTCGACAGAGCCACGCACAGCTCTTAAAACGCTGATACACTGCAGACTGCCGATCGCAGCGCCACAAGCGGATCAACCCTATTCGGGCTTCACTTTTCGGAGCTCGGTTCTAGTACATTCTACCAAAACAATGTGCTGTCGCGTTTTTGCGAGCTACCATATTTTTACCCGAATTTACCAAACCCAGCCAACGCTGAAAACGTGTGTATGTTTAGCATGCTGTTCATTTTACTCGCTTTAAAAGCAGCAAGGAAGAAAATAAATGTTCGAAACGTAGCGCCAAGGCGGAGCTCTTGTAGGCAGTTAGTCCTAGCAGGGCTAGGTTGTCCAAAGCTCCCGCTTTTTTTTTTTTTTCGTTGCCGCGCAGGTGTTCTGTGGCCGCGCAGTTAGATTTACTGGTTCTGTTTGCCCGCCTGTGGAGTGCTCACGTGTATGGTATGTAAAGCCCTTCGCTTGCTACTTACTACTTGCCAATGGGTCCTGCTGCCCTTTTTCAGCGTAGTTAGAAAACGCTGCCGATCGGTGGTCGGGCTTTCTCGAACACGCGAGCCAAACATGATAGCGCAGCACACGGCCTGAAATTCACAATCTTCAAAGTCAGCTAGCAGCCGTTCCCTCTTCTTTCTACAGATGACGCCATATAACCAAATATTTCGCGGGCGCTGGCCGGTTTGAGCATCGTGAGGCGCATAGTTACCGAGGCCGCTGCGGGAGGCTGCCACATGCCGGCGCGTGCCCTTGTGGTTACGCTTAAGGTAATCTACGTCTTCAAAGAAGAAAAAGAAAGAGTGCCCAAGGGCTTGCTCGACGGCCATCTCAGTAGCCTACAGATAAGTTCAGTTATAGCCACGGATGCTTCCGTTAATGGCGAGAAAGCAGTGGGCATCTACTCAACTGCATTAGATTGGTCTTATTCACTGCGACTGACCGAATATACGCCGATATTCCAGGCAGAATTAATGGCAGTGATTCTGGCCATACGCAAGCTCCCAACATATATCTCTTCGGTTGTTATACTGACCGATTCTTTGTCCGTTTGCACTGCTCTGACAACACCAGAGACATCACCTTGTTTATTAGAATTTCATATGTATAAACCCACTCACGTTCATGTTACCCAATTGGTTTGAGTGCCAGGTCACTCTGGACTAATACTAATTGAAGCGGCGGACACTGGCGGCAGAATCAAATTCAGGGCCCCGTCCTGAATATTCTAAGGCCCTGCTGCTTATATGCAATCGCATGATTTCAAAAT